TGGACAGGTGTATTTTATACAGGTAACGAGCTGAGATTAGGAGCACACTCTTAAAGGGAGTGCTCCTAATCTCAGCTTGTTACCTGTATAAAATACACCTGTCCACAGAAGCAATCAATCAATCAGATTCCAAACTCTCCACCATGGCCAAGACCAAAGAGCTCTCCAAGGATGTCAGGGACAAGATTGTAGACCTACACAAGGCTGGAATGGGCTACAAGACCATCGCCAAGCAGCTTGGTGAGAAGGTGACAACAGTTGGTGCGATTATTCGCAAATGGAAGAAACACAAAATAACTGTCAATCTCCCTCGGCCTGTGGCTCCATGCAAGATCTCACCTCGTGGAGTTGCAATGATCATGAGAACGGTGAGGAATCAGCCCAGAACTACACGGGAGGATCTTGTCAATGATCTCAAGGCAGCTGGGACCATAGTCACCAAGAAAACAATTGGTAACACACTACGCCGTGAAGGACTGAAAGCAGGTCCCCCTGCTCAAGAAAGCACATATACAGGGCCGTCTGAAGATTGCCAATGAACATCTGAATGATTCAAAGGAGAACTGGATGAAAATGTTGAGGTCAGATGACACCAAAATTGAGCTCTTTGGCATCAACTCAACTTGCCGTGTTTGGAGGAGGAGGAATGCTGCCTATGACCCCAAGAACACCATCCCCACCGTCTATCATGGAGGTGGAAACATTATGCTTTGGGGGTGTTTTTCTGCTAAGTGGACAGAACTTCACCGCATCAAAGGGACGATGGACGGGGCCATGTACCGTCAAATCTTGGGTGAGAACCTCCTTCCCTCAGCCAGGGCATTGAAAATGGGTCGTGGAAGGGTATTCCAGCATGACAATGACCCAAAACACACGGCCAAGGCAACAAAGGAGTGGCTCAAGAAGAAGCACATTAAGGTCCTGGAGTGGCCTAGCCAGTCTCCAGACCTTAATCCCATAGAATATCTGTGGAGGGAGCTGAAGGTTCGAGTTGCCAAACATCAGCCTCGAAACCTTAATGACTTGGAGAAGATCTGCAAAGAGGAGTGGGACAAAATCCCTCCTGAGATGTGTGCATACCTAGTGGCCAACTACAAGAAACATCTGACCTCTGTGATTGCCAACAAGGGTTTTGCCACCAAGTACTAAGTCATGTTTTGCAGAGGGGTCAAATACTTATTTCCCTCATTGAAATGCAAATCTATTCATAACATTTTTGACATGCGTTTTTCTGGATTTTTTTGTTGTTATTATGTCTCTCACTGTTCAAATAAACCTACCATTACAATTATAGACTGATAATGTATTTGTCAGTGGGCAAACTTACAAAATCAGCAGGGGATCAAATACTTTTTTCCCTCACTGTATATACAGGGATTACCAGTACCAGATCAATGTGCAGCGGTATTTGAGGTAGATATGTACGTGAAGGCAGGGTAAAGTGACTAGGCAGCTGGATAGATAATAATAAGGTATTTGTGGTAGATATGTACATGAAGGCAGGGTAAAGTGACTAGGCATCAGGATAGATAGTAAGGTATTTGAGGTACAGTTGAAGTCGGAAGTTTACATACACCTTAGCCAAATACATTTAAACTCAGTTTTTCACAATTCCTGACATTTAATCCTAGTCAAAATTCCATGTTTTAGGTCAGTTAGGATTACCACTTTATTTTAAGAACGTGAAATGTCAGAATAATAGTAGAGAGAATTACTTATTTCAGCTTTTATTTCTTTCATCACATTCCCAGTGGGTCAGAAGTTTACATACACTCAATTAGTATTTGGTAGGGTTGCCTTTAAATTGTTTAACTTGGGTTAAATGTTTTGGGTAGCCTTCCACAAGCTTCCCACAATAAGTTGGGTGAATTTTGGCCCATTCCTCCTGACAGAGCTGGTGTAACTGAGTCAGGTTTGTAGGCCTCCTTGCTCGCACACGCTTTTTCAGTTCTGCCCACACATTTTCTATAGGATTGAGGTCAGGGCTTTGTGATGGCCACTCCAATACCTTGACTTTGTTGTCCTTAAGCCATTTTGCCACAACTTTGGAAGTATGCTTGGGGTCATTGTCCATTTGGAAGGCCTATTTGCGACCAAGCTTTAACTTCCTGACTGATGTCTTGAGATGTTGCTTCAATATAGCCACATCATTTTCCTTCCTCATGATGCCATCTATTTTGTGAAGTGCATCAGTCCCTCCTGCAGCAAAGCACCCCCACAGCATGATGCTGCCATCCCCGTGCTCCAAGGTTGGGATGGTGTTATTCGGCTTGCAAGCCGTCCCCCTTTTTCCTCCAAACATAATGATGGTCATTATGGCCAAACAGTTCTATGTTTGTTTCATCAGACCAGAGGACATTTCTCCAAAAAGTACGATCTTTGTCCCCATGTGCAGTTGCAAACCGTAGTCTGGCTTATTTTGGCATTTTTGGAGCAGTGGCTTCTTCCTTGCTTAGCGGCCTTTCAGGTTATGTCGATATAGGACTCGTTTTACTGTGGATATAGATACTTTTGTACCTGTTTCCTCCAGAATCTTCACAAGGTCCTTTGCTGTTGTTCTGGGATTGATTTGCACTTTTCGCACCAAAGTACGTTCATCTCTAGGAGACAGAACGCGTCTCCTTCCTTAGCAGTATGACGGTTGCGTGGTCCCATGGTGTTTATACTTGCATACTATTGTTTGTACAGATGAACGTGGTACCTTCAGGCGTTTGGAAATTGCTCCCAAGGATGAACCAGACTTGTGGAGGTCTACAATTATTTTTCTGTGGTCTTGGCTGATTTCTTTTGATTTTCCCATGATGTCAACCAAAGAGGCACTGAGTTTGAAGGTAGGCCTTGAAATACATCCACAGGTACACCTCCAATTGACTCAAATGATGTCAATTAGCCTATAAGAAGCATCTAAAGCCATGACATCATTTTCTGGAATTTTCCAAGCTGTTTAAAGGCACAGTCAACTTAGTGTATGTAAACTTCTGACCCACTGGAATTGTGATACAGTGAATTATAAGTGAAATAATCTGTCTGTAAACAGTTGTTGGAAAAATTACTTGTGTCATGCACAAAGTAGATGTCCTAACCGACTTGCCAAAACTATAGTTTGTTAACAAGAAATGTGTGGAGTGGTTGAAAAACAAGTTTTAATGACTCCAACCTAAGTTTATGTAAACTTCTGACTTCAACTGTAGATGTGTACATGAAGGCATGGTAAAGTGACATCAGGATAGGTGGTGCTCAGGCTTTCACTCAGGTGGTGTGTAGTTTCCTGAACTGGGTGACAGTCTGTTTGTGCTCCAACCAACTCCTTGTTGTCTCACCAAGGCAACAATGTACCAGAGTAGTGTTGTTGAATGCTGTTCAACCCGTGTGGTTGGTAGCCAGGCTAGTGCAGTGGTGACCCTGGCCCTGTTCTACTGCACTGTGGAATCTAGTCTGTCTGGAAAGGCCTCATTACATTGACAGGATTTACACATACAGGCTATCCATCACTATATGCTTAATCAGTAGCTGTCATACCTAATCTATCGCCTGTTGTGTTTTCTCATCCACAGAGCAGAGAAAACAGAAGTTCTCAGCGATGACCTTCTACAGGTAAATAAATCATTACCTAGACTATATTTTCTTATTTTCCACAGGGTTCCCCAACTGGCGGCCCACGGGTGATTTTATTTGGCCTCCCAAGTTTTCTGGAAATCTGTTCCAAAGTATTCCCACGCATAATAGAGAGTTACAGAATACACTGAGTGTACAAAACATTAGTAACACTTTCCTAGTATTGAGCTGCACCCCCCTTTGCCCTCAGAACAGCCTCAATTTGTCAGGGCATGGACTTTACAAGGTGTCGAAAGCGTTCCACAGGGATGCTGGCCCATGTTGACTCCAATGCTTCCCACAGTTGTCAAGTTGGCTGGATGTCCTTTGGGTGGTGGACCATTCTTGATACACACGGGAAACTGTTGAATGTGAACAACCCAGCAGTGTTGCAGTTCTTGACACACTCAAACCGGTGCGCCTGGCACCTACTACCATACCCTGTTCAAAGGCACTTAAATATTTTGTCTTGCCCATTCACCCTCTGAATGGCACATATACACAATCCATGTCTCAATTGTCTCAAGGCTTAAAATTGACATCAATAAGGGATCATAGCTTTCACCTGGTCAATCTGTCATGGAAAAAGCAGGTGTTCCTAATGTTCACTCAGTGTATATAATCGTACACAAATGTAAGCAAGGTTTGAAATTATTGTTTTATTCAAATATTGTTTCTGTTTGGGCTTCTTGCGTTCAATTTGCGGTCTACAAATTATTTGTAAATATGTTCCGGCCCCTTGACCATCCGCTCGAGGAAAGAAATCAGCCCACAGCTGAATCTAGTTGTTGATCCCTGCTCTACCAACTCACTCATTACATACTGTACCGTAAGTCAATGGAACTGCATACTCAGCATTGTGAATACAAGAGGCTAAGCAGAGACACAGATATTGTCAGCTTCTTCCATATATTGGTAACAAAACAAATTGTAACAACGTTCTGCCAGGAATTCTGATAATCTTTGGTACTAGTGGTGAAAAAATATCGACAATGTGTGTACGAGTGTATATTCTATTCAATTCAGTTCAATTCAGTTTGATACTCTGGGTTCCTCCAGTGCTGTTCTCAGTCTGGTTCCCAAGGAAATAGGCTACCCATTGAGTTTAGAGACAGCAGAATTCCGGTTGCTCAGGGAAGACATTCCATACACTTTATTTCTGTAATTCCGGAATGTTCTTTTGTTTTTCCTCCACCCCACTTGAAGTCAGAGAGGGTGTGTGTACACAAACAACGCTACTGAAAGGACACAGCCTCCTGCTGTTACTTCAAGACCTTTTTCTCTTGAAGTCACGTTGGATAAATAGAATGTGGTTGACTGGAGAGAAAAGTATACTGGAACGAAACAGTCATGGGACCCACACACACAGCATTTGAGTGACGACTAGCATGACGTGTTCTATTTAGATGCAGTATGAGGCGTTGTCATGGAAGGAGTGAGTGTCTGTCCAACACAGCTTATGAATAGCTGCTACTGAGGTGAGGACGCTTTATGGTAGCTGACAGTTGACGCTCAGTTTTCCCTCCAAGGCGTTTTGTGTGCGACCTTCCTTTAATAACCTTCCATGGCCCACTGTAATTCAGATTCCTCTTTCTTCCAAATGTCACATCTCTCACGCTACCATGTCAGTCTGAGAACACACTGTTGGATCACTCTCCTGTCCATGGAATCACTGGAGGCTGGTGCTTGATCACCACTGATCGGTTTTCTGCTTCAGCCAACTAATCTCTCTGTAGTGCTTGTTGTCATGCCATCCATGTTTGCCTGCTGTGAATAAATCGCAAGCATAAGAGGCCTTATAGTGGTCAACAGCACAAACAAATGAGGCATCTTATTCTTAGTCCCCAACACCACCTGGTCCTCCAGGGTAGATCCACGGCATCCCAGAATTCCTCTGCTAGCCCAGCTGTCCATATAGTCACATAGCTCAGCTTCCATAGGGGCACCATAGATATCCCATTCCATAGGGGCACCATAGATATCCCAGGCTGCCTGAGGCCACAGGACCCCACATACACTACATGACCAAAAGTATGTGGAAACCTGCTCGTCGAACATCTCATTCCAAAACCATGGGCATTAATATGGAGTTGGTCCCCCCTTTGCTGCTATAATAGCCTCCACTCTTCTGGGAAGGCTTTCCACTAGACGTTGGAACATTGCTGCAGGGATTTGCTCCATTCAGCCAAAGCATTAGTGAGGTTGGGCAATTAGGCCTGGCTCGCAGTTGGCGTTCCAATTCATCCCAAAGGTGTTCGATGGGGTAGAGGTCAGGGCTCTGTGCAGGCCAGTCAAGTTCTTCCAAACCAATCTCAACAAACCATTTCTGTATAGACCTCACTTTGTGCACGAGGGCATTGTCATGCTGAAACAGGAAAGGGCCTTCCCCAAATTGTTGACACAAAGTTGGAAGCACAGAATCGTCTAGAATGTCATTGTATGCTGTAGCGTTAAGATTTCTCTTCACTGGAACTAAGGGGCCTTGCTCGAATCATGAAAAACAGCCCCAGACCATTATTCCTCCTCCACCAAACTTTACAGCTGGCACTATGCATTGGGGGCAGGTAGCGTTCTCCTGGCATCTGCCAAACCCAGATTAGTCAGTCGGACTGCCAGATGGTGAAACGTGATTCATCACGCCAGAGAACGCGTTTCCACTGCTCCAGTCCAATGGTGGTGCGCTTTACACCACTCCAGCCAACGCTTGGCATTGCGCATTGTGATCTTAGGCTTGTGTGTGGCTGCTCGGCCATGGAAACCCATTTCATGCTCCTAGACATTTCCACTTCACAGTAACAGTACTTACTGTTGACTGGGGCAGCTCTAGCAGGGCAGAAATTTGACAAACTGACTTGTTGGAAAGGTGGCCTATGACGGTGCCACGTTGAAAGTCGATGAGCTCTTCAGTAAGGCTATTCTACTGCCAATGTTTGTCTATGGAGATTGCATGGCGGTGTGCTCGATTTTATACACCTGTCAGCAACGGTGTGGCTGAAATTGCTGAATACACTAATTTGAAGGGGTGTCCACATACTTCTGTATATATGATGTAGCTCTCATGCACCCAAGAGAAGGCTTACTGTAATTGGCTCAATGGCTCTGTGTGATGATGGCTCTGGAATTTTGTATTCTATAATGGGGAGGCTTCCTGAGCTCTTGCCAGTCCGGATTCTGCTTTAGCCAATAATAGCCAGCTCCTTTACTGTGTCAGGCCAAGAAACATGGACAGAGGAGTTACTGAAACGAGAAACCAACTTGGCTACAAAGCAAGCTTAGACTGACTTCATAAACACAATAAATGGTATTCACAACAGCGGAGTTGTTATGGGTACTAGGAGTGTTGTTTAGGAATCCAACCGTTGTCCATCTTGTTTACTGCTGTTTGTGTTTGGACACACAGAAATGCTGTCACACCCTTTCTCTGGCTAGCCGTGCCGTGTGCTTGTCTGGACATCTCATCAGTCCTGGCACACACACGTCAGTCACATTACAGTGTGGATTCCCTGCTCAGCGTCATAGACCAAACTAGGCTCTGAGCTGATCACAGTTAGCCAGACAGAAGTTGTTGTACTCTTTCAGATCCTTCTGGTCTGTTTGTTTTTCTGTTTAGTCCTTTCTCTTCAGTCTCTTTGATGTCTCTGTCTGTGAAGTCTCTGTCTGTGAAGTCTCTGTCTGTGAAGTCTCTGTCTGTCTGTGAAGTCTCTGTCTGTGAAGTCTCTGTCTCTGTCTGTGAAGTCTCTGTCTCTGTCTGGGAAGTCTGTCTCTGTCTGGGAAGTCTGTCTCTGTCTGGGAAGTCTGTCTCTGTCTGGGAAGTCTGTCTCTGTCTGGGAAGTCTGTCTCTGTGTGGGAAGTCTGTCTCTGTGTGGGAAGTCTGTCTCTGTCTGGGAAGTCTCTGTGTGTGATGTTAGGGTGAGTGTGTTATATCTGAGTGTAAGAATGATGGAAAAGAGAAACCGACAGTGGCACCCCTGGCGCCATGTAATCAAAACACACACACACATCCCCAGGATCTCCCCCTGTAGAGAAGAAAGCGGTGGAATCCCCTGTTCCTGTGCCATGTACTAACAGGGCTCAGCCCGAACACACGGCGTTCCCTGTTCCTAAGCCATGGGCCTGTGGAGGAGTCAGGAGACCCCCTCCACACTGTCTGTCTGACCCAGCTGTTTTGGGATTGCTGGGGCCCTCCGTGGGTCGGGAATGACGCAAGGGAGAGGTGGAGAGGGAGAGAGAGGTGTGGAGGAATCAGCCGGTGGAATTCCTGAGTTCGAGTTCTGTTTTTGTAACAATTGTCATGGTTTCTGTTGATCTGTTCTGACAGTCTGTCCGTCTGTCCCCTGGCTGCTCCGTACGTCTCTCTGTCTCCCCCCTGCCCTGTTCCCACAGGCATTATTCTGAGCTGTCGATTTTCCCTCCCTCCCCCTCTAGTTTTATAATAATAAAATAATATGCCATTCAGCAGACGCTTTTATCCAAAGCGACTTACAGTCATGTGCGCATACATTTTTACGTATGGGTGGTCCCGGGGATCGAACCCACTACCCTGGCGTTACAAGCGCCATGCTCTACCAATTGAGCTGGTGCTGGTTCATTTAGTTTCACAGCCTTGCTGATTTAAAAAAAGACACTCCATGTTCCATACTGGGCATGTTCTGTACAACAGACACTCCATGTTCCATACTGGGCATGTTCTGTACAACAGACACTCCATGTTCCATACTGGGCATGTTCTGTACAACAGACACTCCATGTTCCATACTGGGCATGTTCTGTACAACAGACACTCCATGTTCCATACTGGGCATGTTCTGTACAACAGACACTCCATGTTCCATACTGGGCATGTTCTGTACCTAAGTTGGTACAGCAGACACTAGTTTTGAACTGGCAAAAAATGGCATAAAAATGCTCTAAAGAAGAGTTGAAAATGTATTTTTCAATGTAGTTCTTTAGACAGATTGCAGACAACACTGTGGAAGTTGCCATACAGTTTCACCATCTGACAGCTGGACAAGGCTGGCCTAGTTTCTCTGCAGTATGAAGTCGTTTTCTGCCCTGGCTTCAGAGTGCTGTGAAATCACAATTTCAGAGCATTCATCTGCCCTTTAACGCTCCAAACAGCAGTAACAGCCTAGCAACAGTCTCCATGAAGACGTTTCTGATGAGTCATCTGTTTCATAGAGAACATTCCTGTGTTGCCCAGCTGGGAGTGGCTGGTATCATTCATGCCTGACCTTTGACCTCCATCCCTGGCCACCAATCAAAACAGGGCATGTAGCTGACTGGACTTCAATGAGGCAGCCGTCAACAGGCAGGGATGAGGGAGATTAGAGGAATATAGTTACATGTCAACACCATTCATTCTACTGGACAGAGTTGTCAGAGGACCAAAGGGGCTGGGAAAAATGAATCAGTGCAGTTATAAACTACAGGCATAACCTTTCAACTCAGTGTCCCTAACCCCAGGAACTTCTGTCTACATCTTCTGCGTAACAAAGTTCCTCCACCAACATTCGTTTTTATAAACAAAGAGTTCAGTTCACTTTCTTCCTGTGACAAAGCAGTGTGGAACATATGGAATTCATAACCTTGTTACACAATGAAACGCAAGACGATGCATTTACAGGCGTTTGATCATTCAACACACTGCCTCTATGAAACGACTTTCCCATGTCTCTAACCTGTAGCTGCTGTACCGCTGAGCTGTATACTACATCACAGTAAAGATCTGTCTGTATGTAAGTGGTGGTTTGTCGTGCACAGATTGAGCGGCGCATGGAGATGGTGCGTGTGGTGTCCCACAACACACACAAGAGGATGGTCACGTGTCTGCAGGGCCACATTGGCACCGACACAGAGAAGAGACATGTAAGTATCATTAACATTATTCCTGACCAAATCACTAGATCAAAGATAAGCATATATTTATGATTTATTCCCCATTAACACTAGATTCCCCCCTTGAAAATAATGTTCAATATCAGCAATTAGTGTTTTTTTGTTGTTGTTTACATCTCATGATCCAACATGTTGTGTCAATGCCAGTCCGTACCATGCCTATAAACAGGAAATGGTCAGGTGAAAATACCCATTTTTACTTCCTCATAGCTACATCTGTAGCTCTGCTCAACCCTCCTTCATTACAGCTTTATGAGAATAGAAAGGCATCATACTGTCTAGTTTTTACAGTATGTCAAAGTAGCTCTTAACATCACAATAACAGTAACGTCATTCTTTTTACCGTTCTATATTGTCTCATTTTTATTTATTTTTGTATTAACCCGTCCCTCTTCGGAGGACAAATATACAGTTGAAGTCGGAAATTTACATACACCTTAGCCAAATACATTTAAACTCAGTTTTTCACGATTCCTGACATTTAATCCTAGTAAAAATTCCCTGTCTTAGTTCAGTTAGGATCACCACTTAATTTTAAGAATGTCAGAATAATAGTAGAGAATGATTTATTTCAGCTTTTATTTCTTTCATCACATTCCCAGTGGGTCAGAAGTTTACATACACACAATTAGTATTTGGTAGCATTGCCTTTAAATTGTTTAACTTGGGTCAAACGTTTTGGGTAGCCTTCCACAAGCTTCCCACAATAAGTTGGGTGAATTTTGGCCCATTCCTCCTGACAGAGATGGTGTAACTGAGTCAGGTTTGTAGGCCTCCTTGCTCGCACACGCTTTTTCAGTTCTGCCCACAAATGTTCTATAGGATTGAGGTCAGGGCTTTGTGATGGCCACTCCAATATGTTGACTTTGTTGTCCTTAAGCCATTTAGCCACAACTTTGGAAGTATGCTTGGGGTCATTGTCCATTTGGAAGACCCATTTGCGACCAAGCTTTAACTTCTTGACTGATGTCTTGAGATGTTGCTTCAATATATCCACATAATTTTCCTTCCTCATGATGCCATCTATTTTGTGAAGTGCACCAGTCCTTCCTGCATTAAAGCACCCCCACAGCATGATGCTGCCACCCCGTGCTTCAAGGTTGGGATGGTGTTCTTCAGCTTGCAAGCCTTCCCCATTTTCCTCCAAACATAACGATGGTCATTATGGCCAAACAGTTCTATTTTTGTATCATCAGACCAGAGTACATTTCTCTAAAAAGTACGGTCTTTGTCCCCATGTGCAGTTGCAAACCGTAGTCTGGCTTTTTTATGGCGGTTTTGGAGCAGTGGCTTCTTCCTTGCTGAGCGGCCTTTCAGGTTATGTCAATATAGGACTCGTTTTACTGTGGATATAGATACTTTTGTACCTGTTTCCTCCAGCATCTTCACAAGGTCCTTTGCTGCTGTTCTGGGATTGATTTGCACTTTTCGCACCAAAGTACGCTCATCTCTAGGAGACAGACCGTGTCTCCTTCCTGAGCGGTATGACGGCTGCGTGGTCCCATGGTGTTTATACTTGCGTACTATTGTTTGTACAGATGAACGTGGTACCTTCAGGCGTTTGGAAATTGCTCCCAAGGATGAACCAGACTTGTGGAGGTCTACAATTATTTTTCTGAGGTCTTGGCTGATTTCTTTTCATTTTCAAATGATGTCAAGCAAAGAGGCACTGAGTTTGAAGGTAGGCCTTGAAATACATCCACGGGTACACCTCCAATTGACTCAAATGATGTCAATTAGCCTATCAGAAGCTTCTAATGCCTGACCCACTGGAATTGTGATACAGTTAATTATAAGTGAAATAATCTGTCTGTAAACAATTGTTGGAAAAATTACTTGTGTCATGCACAAAGTAGATGTCCTAACCGACTTGCCAAAACTATAGTTTGTTAAAAATAAATGTGTGGAGTGGTTGAAAAACGAGTTTTAATGACTTCAACCTAAGTGTATGTAAACTTCCGACTTCAACTGTGTGTGTATATATATATATATTTTTTTTACATATATTGTCTAACTTAATGACAATGGATATGGACTTTCCATTGATAAACCCTCAAAAGGAAAGCACTAGAAACCTCTTGTTGACTTAGTAAATTGTTGGTCCCTCAGTTGGTATTTAATAAATGTCTCTCTCTCTCTCTCTCTCTCTCTCTCTCTCTCTCTCTCTCTCTCTCTCTCTCTCTCTCTCTCTCTCTCTCTCTCTCTCTCTCTCTCTCTCTCTCTCTCTCTCTCTCTCTCTCTCTCTCTCTCTCTCTCAACACACCTCACAGAAAAAGCTTCCTCTGACAGCGCTGTCTCAAGCCATGGTGGACGGAGGCAGTCAGCTGGGAGAGGAGTCTCTGATTGGGTGAGTGTGGGTGAATTGACGGGTTAGACAACCAATCTGTCTGACACTGTGGTTATATGGAACAGATGAACCCTAGAGAGATGGAGAATATGTGGCTAACAAACGGACTTAATTATTATCAACTGTCTTTTCAGTCATTTCTTGTTTTTGTGGAGGATCAGAAAGTGTCTAGTGTGGATGTGTCTATCCACGTAATGAGGATGTTTGCCAGACTGATTCTCCATTTAACAACACTAGCTACATTGTTGCCTTGTTCGCATAGTAAGACAGTGACAGAAACAGACAGGCACTCAGACTAGAGGATCTAGAAACTACCCAGTGATTTACTGTCTGCTTTTAGGAGGAAGTGAATCTATCTCATTTGACAACTTGCCAATATTTAATATGATGTATTTGTGGATGTGGAATGATGAATTTGGAAGGTATTGCCAAAGGCGACTGAGATGACCCTCAGCAGTTATCAGTCATTATTTTGAAGGACAGGAATGGTGTGACTTCTGACCCCGATGGCTCTTCCTGTGGGGTCTGAAAGACCTTTGACCTGTGTGTGTGTGTCTCCTCCTGACAGGAAGATGATGGAGGTGTGCGGGGAGGCAGAGAACAGGCTGGCGTCAGAGCTGCTGCAGCACGAGGTCCAGATGGAGAAAGATGTGCTAGACCCCCTCAACCAGCTAGCAGAGGTGAGGAGGAGGCGATATCGAGTGCCTTATTCCATCCAAACCTGTCTCAAGAGTATCCAATATATTAGTCAAAAACATTCTTACTCATCACAAATAATTGAGTCAATATGTATTCAATGTGTATTTGGAAAAGCGCCATACGTTCTCAACAGACGTGTGATCCATCCACATTCTCAGGTGGACATTCCCAACATCCTGAAACAGAGGAAGCAGCTAGCCAGGCTAGTTCTGGACTACGATTCTGCCAGAGCGAGGTGAGCCCATGTACATCTATCGCCTTTATTAACATTTATATTGTGCTTATAACATGTTTTAAAGTTTTATAACAACGTTCTAACCTGTTCTGTGGTCTACCTCTTCCAGGTGGTTGCAGGCAACCAAGTCGATAATCTCAGGAACAAACACTCAAGCACTGACGGCCAAGGCAGACCTGCTCAAAGAGGAGGTGGATGAAGCTATGAACAAAATGGAACTGTGCAAGGTAAGGCCTTAAATTGATAAATCACCCCACAGTTAAAAGTTTGTCTGACATTCTGCTAAATTAATTAGGATAAATCACAGGCCTCAATCCGAAATGAATGGTAGTTGCTTACAGGAGCAGAAGAGGAAGTGAAAATTGAAAGTTTTGACAGGAGAAGGTAAGGTAAGGACAGAAGTGGACATTCCGCACCCAGCGGAGTCATGGCTGTTTGATTTAGGAAGAAGGAATGCCCAGTCAGCTGTGTGTGTGCCTCTCTCTCTCGCTCTCTGTTTCTGTCTCTGTCTCTCTGTTTCTGTCTCTGTCTCTCTGTTTCTGTCTCTGTCTCTCTGTTTCTGTCTCTGTCTCTCTGTTTCTGTCTCTGTCTCTCTGTCTCTGTCTCTCTGTTTCTGTCTCTGTCTCTCTGTCTCTGTCTCTGTCTCTCTGTTTCTGTCTCTGTCTCTCTGTCTCTGTCTCTCTGTTTCTGTCTCTGTCTCTCTGTTTCTGTCTCTGTCTCTGTCTCTCTGTTTCTGTCTCTGTCTCTCTGTTCTGTCTCTGTCTCTCTGTCTCTGTCTCTCTGTCTCTGTCTCTCTGTCTCTGTCTCTCTGTCTCTGTCTCTCTGTCTCTGTCTCTCTGTCTCTGTCTCTCTGTCTCTGTCTCTCTGTCTCTGTCTCTCTGTTTCTGTCTCTGTCTCTCTGTGTGTGTTGCAGACTGATAGTATTGTGTGTGTGTGTGTGTGTGTGTGTGTGTGTGTGTGTGTGTGTGTGTGTATTGAGTTAGTGGTGTGGTGTGTGTCAGGTCTTCTTTCCAGGAAGCTACATGCCTCAGTGTTTTTCTTCCTCTGCGCTCCAGGCCTGTTGAGCCCTGCTCTACACTGCTAATAAACCCTGGTCCTGCAGACAGCAGACAGATTTATGAGTCACTGTGGAAGGCTTAATGGCCCTACCCAGCACTAACACTAACAGAGCTGCCACCTGAAATACATTGATTGGATTTTGATATAAAGGAGAGCAGAGAGGTGGATGGGTTTAGGTCGATAATAAAACCGGCAGGAATTTCCCTTTTATAGTAAAATGACTGTTGATGGATCAAATGTTTTAAGTCCTGAGAGTTGGTCCTTCTCTGTCATCTGGTTCTAATGATCTGTTGTCTGCTCCTCTCTCTCAGGACCAACTGGCTGCAGACATGTACAATTTCTTCTCAAAGGAAGGGGACTATGCCCGCTACTATGTAATGGTGAATCAGTCTGTGTGTGGGAATGTTCATAGCTGTAGATTGACTGGTGAACAGTTTATTGTTTTGTTTGTTGTATTGCCTCTCATTGTTGACTGACTCTCTCTCTCTCTTTTTCTCTCTCTCTTTTTCTCTCAATTTCTCTCTCTCTCTCTCTCTCTCTCTCCCTCTCTCTCTCTCCCCCCCCCCCCCCACTGTTCTGTTGTGTTCCCAGCTCTTAGAGGCCCAAGCCGATTACCATAGGAAATCTCTGACTATTCTCGAGAGTGTCCTGCCAACCATTCAAGCACAGCAAGGTACACTATACTCCTGCTCCCCCCCCCCAAACCCCCTCTCATAGCCAGGTGCAGTACAGCTTCCGATGAGTCATCCGTTTCATAGGGAACAGCCCAGTTCCCCTCTCACTGTGCTGGGTGAAGTTGCCCAGAAGTTATCCTCCTCCAATTCCTTTCGTTAACCATGAGGGAGGAAAACGCATACGTGTCCAGTACTACTACAAATCTAGTTAGGGACATCTTGATCCTACCCCTCCCCCCTAAATCACAGCAAGATACAGACCAGTCCTCACCTCCTCCTTCTAAAAACCCCTCTTTCTATTTCTCTCTCCTGGCTCTTTTTTCCTTCAGGCCCATAAAGGTTTAACTGAGCGTGACACAGGAACTCTGTCCATTAGTACCATGATGATGATGATGATGATGATGATGATGATGATGATGTTGAGTCAGGCTGAAGTCTTAAGTTACCATCTAGGCTATGCATTTTCACCCTGCCTGCATAGGCTACAGCTGTTTGCATCTTGTTGTTTATTTGTTAGACCACATCAATCACTTATAACTATGTTAAAGTGGCACATCAACCATCTCTCAATCGAAGTATTTGCTTATATTTCTAAATGATGGCTGAAGGTGTCTTGCAGGCTATGTCAAGTAGATCATTGCTTATTGTTCCTGTAGGACTGAAAATGATTGCAGGGAAGGCATTAATTTAGGTGTTTCCACTCTCTTTTTAGTATGGGCTCGCTCTCTCTCTCTGTTCCTCACCATTTCCCTCTATGTGGTTGTAAAGCTGTGTTCTGCAGGCTGTGTTTTCTCTAGTAAACAGAGAAGACGTGGTCTAAATCAGCCCTTCTCTCCCAGCATGTGGTTTATGATGACTCAAACATTCCACACTACTTACAGCTCACATCAGACCTACCTGGGCTTTCATTTCCACTGAGTGCACAGAAACTCACCAACATGCCATGGATGGAGACCATGTGGTTATTATTTACAGATATCTCTATTGGAGGAGGAAGTGACTGATGGTTGGCCAGAGGGGATGTTGTTGACCATTCACAGGCCTCCTAACCCCTCATCCACACAGTCATCCTACTGCCCTCTCATGCTGCAGACCCGTAACAACTTAAGTTTTGTTACCACCATGCTAACAGTGCTACCACTCTCTCTCTCCCCCGTCAGACTCGTGGACGGAGAAGCCAGCGTTTGGGACGGGGCTGGAGGAGCATCTGAAGAGGAGTAGCAGAGAGATCGCTCTGCCCTTAGAGGCCTGTGTCATGATGCTTCTGGAGACTGGCATGAAGGAGGAGGTAGGGAGAGAGGGATGGAGGGAAGCATTGGAGGGAGGGGGAGCAAGGGAGAAAAGGAGGGTGATCATAGTAAGTTGAGGACAAATAAAAGTAAATATGGATGGGTGAATTAAATAATACAAGGATTAATTAAATTAAATGAACCCATGCAGAAACTTTTTGTGGAAAGTGGACCCAAACGCGAAACATAAAATGCACTTAAAACCATTTAAATTTAATCGAAAATGTAATCTAAGTAATCCCCAAAAGTAATGATTTATCATGAGGGCTATAAACAATAACTAGTAATGCTGCATACTCAAAGAAAGGTTCAAATCTCACCTTTCTGGAAAAAATGTTATAAATTGCTGCAGTGTCGTCACTTTTGAGGACACAAGCTCAAGTACACAGTATAAATATAATGAAAATATGAAATATTTTATATGATGTATTTCCTGTATGAATAAGGCTTGAATTGACTTATATTTTTTCTAAATATAGTATAATCAATTTATAAAACAACTAACTATAAAATGTCACCTTCCTTATAACTGTAAAATACATATTTGTATGTTTAGTGTCAGAGAAAATTTGCATTTTTTCTAAAGGTCTCTCTTCATCAAAATGAACGTCTCACAGAGCTCTAGCTTGGCTCGTTAGGAACTCGCCTTTCATCTCATATTAATCTTGTCCGTCTATGACAGTGTTTTTTGTTTAAAATCTATGAATTATTTTAGATTACTGGCTATAAATCTATCCATGCATGTGCTACAGCGACAAATCCATTCTCTCCTACTGCGTTACGATGTAAGGATTCCAGACATATGCGTTGTTAGTGGCTGTGACGTAGGGTTCAGCCAGAAGCTGGACAGTCGAATGAAATGGTAGGCGGGACATCACATCTTCAAGTGCTGTTAGATTTCACATCCTGCTTCACAGAGGCAGAAGAGACAGACTCTTGTGTCTGTGAGAATCAGGGCTACCGCTCAATGCAAGCCATTTCGATCTATGGTGTCCACATATAAGTGAAAATCCAAAAACAGGGGACTTTACATCTAAGAGGTTTAAGAACTGGTCATAAACATATTTGATCCCATACATTTTGAAATGTTTACAGACATGAAGAGATGGGCAGAAAACATTCAAATCTGCTGCGACGTTCTCAGAGTTCTTTCCACTTGTAAGAGATGCTATTAAGTCCAGAATTTGTGGGTGGAGCTAGAAAGTTGGCTGTCAGAAGTATTACAATGTAAACGTACAGTTGAAGTCGGAAGTTTACATACACCTTAGCCAACTACATTTAAACTCAGTTTTTCACAATTCCTGACATTTAATCCTTGTAAAAATTCCCTGTCTTAGATCAGTTAGGATCACCACTTTATTTAAGAATGTGAAATGTCAGAATAATAGTAGAGATAATTATTTATTTCACCTTTTATTTCTTTCATCACATTCCCAGTGGGTCAGAAGTATACATACACTCAATTAGTATTTGGTAGCATTGCCTTTAAATTGTTTAACTTGGGTCAGACGTTTCGGGTAGCCTTCCACAAGCTTCCCACAATAAGTTGGGTGAATTTTGGCCCATTCCTCCTGACAGAGCTGGAGTAACTGAGTCAGGTTTGTAGGTCTCCTTGCTCGCACACACTTTTTCAGTTCTGCCAACAAATGTTCTATAGGATTGAGGTCAGGGCTTTGTGATGGCCACTCCAATACGTTGACTTTGTTGTCCTTAAGCCATTTTGCCACGACTTTGGAAGTATGCTTGGAGTCATTGTCCATTTGGAAGACCCATTTGCGACCAAGCTTTAACTTCCTGACTGATGTCTTGAGATGTTGCTTCAATATATCCACATAATTTTCCTTCCTCATGATGCCATCTATTTTGTGAAGTGCATCAGTCCCTCCTGCAGCAAAGCACCCCCACAGCATGATGCTGCCACCCCCGTGCTTCACGGTTGGGATGGTGTTCTTCGGCTTGCAAGCATCCCCATTTTTCCTCCAAACATAACGATGGTCATTATGGCCAAACAGTTCTATTTTATGTTTCATCAGACCAGAGGACATTTCTCCAAAAAGTATGATCTTTGTCCCCATGTGCAGTTGCAACCCGTAGTCTGGCTTTTTTATGGCATTTTTGGAGCAGTGGCTTCTTCCTTGCTGAGCGACCTTTCAGGTTATGTCGATATAGGACTCGTTTTACTGTGGATACTTTTGTACCTGTTTCCTCCAGCATCTTCACAAGGTCCTTTGCTGTTGTTCTGGGATTGATTTGCACTTTTCGCACCAAAGTACGTTCATCTCTAGGAGACAGAACGCGTCTCCTTCCTGAGCGGTATGATGGCTGCGTGGTCCCATGGTGTTTATACTTGCGTACTATTGTTTGTACAGATGAATGTGGTACCTTCAGGTGTTTGGAAATTGCTCCCAAGGATGAACCAGACTTGTGGAGGTCTACAATCTTTTTCTGAGGTCTTGGCTGATTTCTTTAGATTTTCCCATGATGTCAAGCAAAGAGGCACTGATTTGAAGGTAGGCCTTGAAATACATCCACAGGTACACCTCCAATTGACTCAAATGATGTCAATTAGCCTATCAGAAGCTTCTAAAGCCATGACATCATTTTCTGGAATTTTCCAAGCTGTTTAAAGGCACAGTCAACTTAGTGTACAGTGGCCACTCCAGGACCTTAATGTGCTTCTTCTTGAGCCACTCCTTTGTTGCCTTGGCCGTGTGTTTTGGGTCATTGTCATGCTGGAATACCCATCCACGACCCATTTTCAATGCCCTGGCTGAGGGAAGGTGGTTCTCACCCAAGATTTGACAGTACATGGCCCCGTCCATCGTCCCTTTGATGCAGTGTGGTTGTCCTGTCCCCTTAGCAGAATAACACCCCCAAAGCATAATGTTTCCACCTCCATGTTTGACGGTGGGGATGGTGTTCTTGGGGTCATAGGCAGCATTCCTCCTCCTCCAAACACGGCGAGTTGAGTTGATGCCAAAGAACTCGATTTTGGTCTCATCTGACCACAACACTTTCACCCAGTTCTCCTCTGAATCATTCAGATGTTCATTGGCAAACTTCAGACGGGCCTGTATATTTGCTTTCTTGAGCAGGGGGACCTTGCGGGCGCTGCAGGATTTCAGTCCTTCACGGCGTAGTGTGTTACCAATTGTTTTCTTGGTGACTATGGTCCCAGCTGCCTTGAGATCATTGACAAGATCCTCCCGTGTAGTTCTGGGCTGATTCCTCACCGTTCTCATGATCATTGCAACTCCACGAGGTGAGATCTTGCATGGAGCCCCAGGCTGAGGGAGATTGACAGATCTTTTGTATTTCTTCCATTTGCGAATAATCGCACCAACTGTTGTCAGCTTCTCACCAAGCTGCTTGGCGATGGTCTTGTAGCCCATTCCAGCCTTGTGTAGGTCTACAATCTTGTCCCTGACATCCTTGGAGAGCTCTTTGGTCTTGGCCATGGTGGAGAGTTTGGAATCTGATTGATTGCTTCTGTGGACAGGTGTCTTTTATACAGGTAACAAACTGAGATTAGGAGCACTCCCTTTAAGAGTGTGCTCCTAATCTCAGCTCGTTACCTGTATAAAAGACACCTGGGAGCCAGAAATCTTTCTGATTGAGAGGGGGTCAAATACTTATTTCCCTCATTAAAATGCAAATCAATTTATAACATTTTTGACATGCGTTTTTTTGTTGTTATTCTGTCTCTCACTGTTCAAATAAACCTACCATTAAAATTATAGACTGATCATGTCTTTGTCAGTGGGCAAACATACAAAATCAGCATGGGATCAAATACTTTTTTCCCTCACTGTATGTAAACTCCTGACCCACTGGAATTGTGATACAGTGAATTATATGTGAAATAATCTGTCTGTAAACAATTGTTGGAAAAATTACTTGTTTCATGCACAAAGTAGGTGTCCTAACCGACTTGCCAAAATATAGTTTGTTAACAAGAAATGTGTGGAGTGGTTGAAAAATGAGTTTTAATGACTCCAACCTAAGTGTATGTAAACTTCCGACTTCAACTGTACTTTTAATCCGTCTCTCTGCATATTTCTAGACATGGTACAGTGGGGAAAAAAAGTATTTAGTCAGCCACCAATTGTGCAAGTTCTCCCACTTAAAAAGATGAGAGAGGCCTGTAATTTTCATCATAGGTACACGTCAACTATGACAGACAAAATGAGATTTTTTTTTTCTCCGAAAATCACATTTGTAGGATTTTTTTGAATTTATTTGCAAATTATGGTGGAAAATAAGTATTTGGTCAATAACTAAAGTTTCTCAATACTTTGTTATATACCCTTTGTTCGCAATGACACAGGTCAAACGTTTTCTGTAAGTCTTCAAGGTTTTCACACACTGTTGCTGGTATTTTGGCCCATTCCTCCATGCAGATCTCCTCTAGAGCAGTGATGTTTTGTAGCTGTCGCTGGGCAACATGGACTTTCAACTCCCTCCAAAGATTTTCTATGGGGTTGAGATCTGGAGACTGGCTAGGCCACTCCAGGACCTTGAAATGCTTCTTACGAAGCCACTCCTTCGTTGCCCGGGCGGTGTGTTTGGGATCATTGTCATGCTGAAAGACCCAGCCACGTTTCATCTTCAATGCCCTTGCTGATGGAAGGAGGTTTTAACTCAAAATCTCACGATACATGGCCCCATTAATTCTTTCCTTTACACGGATCAGTCGTCCTGGTCCCTTTGCAGAAAAACAGCCCCAAAGCATGATGTTTCCACCCCCATGCTTCACAGTAGGTATGGTGTTCTTTGGATGCAACTCAGCATTCTTTGTCCTCCAAACACGACGAGTTGAGTTTTTACCAATAAGTTCTATTTTGGTTTCATCTGACCATATGACATTCTCCCAATCCTCTTCTGGATCATCCACATGCTCTCTAGCAAACTTCAGACGGGCCTGGACATGTACTGGCTTAAGCAGGGGGACACGTCTGGCACTGCAGGATTTGAGTCCCTGGCGGCGTAGTGTGTTACTGATGGTAGGCTTTGTTACTTTGGTCCCAGCTCTCTGCAGGTCATTCACTAGGTCCCCCCGTGTGGTTCTGGGATTTTTGCCCACCGTTCTTGTGATCATTTTGACCCCACGGGGTGAGATCTTGCGTGGAGCCCCAGATCGAGGGAGATTATCAGTGTTCTTGTATGTCTTCCATTTCCTAATAATTGCTCCCACAGTTGATTTCTTCAAACCAAGCTGCTTACCTATTGCAGATTCAGTCTTCCCAGCCTGGTGCAGGTCTACAATTTTGTTTCTGGTGTCCTTTGACAGCTCTTTGGTCTTGGCCATTGTGGAGTTTGGAGTGTGACTGTTTGAGGTTGTGGACAGGTGTCTTTTATACTGATAACAAGTTCAAACAGGTGCCATTAATACAGGTAACGAGTGGAGGACAGAGGAGCCTCTTAAAGAAGAAGTTACAGGTCTGTGAGAGCCAGAAATCTTGCTTGTTTGTAGATGACCAAATACTTATTTTCCACCATAATTTGCAAATAAATTCATTAAAAATCCTACAATGTGATTTTCTGGAGAAAAAAAATCTCATTTTGTCTGTCATAGTTGACGTGTACCTATGATGAAAATTACAGGCCTCTCTCATCTTTTTAAGTGGGAGAACTTGCACAATTGGTGGCTGACTAAATACTTTTTTCCCCCACTGTATATGGGGGTGTAGTGAGATACCCAATGGGCTGGACAATTCTCTTCTCACCACTCATCTTGAAAAAACTTATACTAAAAATCCGCCCTCATTAACACAATGGAAAAATCTAATGATTTTATTTTTGAAATAGCATGGGTGACTGAGAAACACATTGGTACAATTTTGAGGCCAAGTGGCAAACAATAATGCAGGCACTAGTGATGGGGCTGTGAGCATGCGTGTCTGGGCAGAGGAGATGTAGTCATTGTTTGTCTGTGTGTAAGTTGTTGTTCGAATGTATAAGTGTGTACAGTGCATTCAGAAAGTATTCAGACCCCTGGACTTTTTCCACATTTTGTTACATTACAGTCCTATTATAAAATGTATTAAATAAATCCCTTATCAATCTACACACAATACAGTGGCTTGCAAAAGTACAGCAATCTTTAAGTCATACCACAGATTCTCAATTGGATTGAGGTCTGGGCTTTGACTAGGCCATTCCAAGGCATTTAAATGTTTCCCCCTAAACCACTGAAGTGTTGCTTTAGCAGTATGCTTAGGGTCATTGTCCTGCTGGAAGGTGAACCTCCGTCCCACTCTCAAATCTCTGGAAGACTGACACAGGTTTCCCTCAAATTTCCCTGTATTTAGCGCCATCCATCATTCCTTCAATTCTGACCAGTTTCCCAGTCCCTGCCAATGGAAAAACATCCCAACAGCATGATGCTGCCACCACCATGGCTTTTGGCGAACACCAAACGTGTTTGCTTTTTTTTGTTCTTTAAGCAATGGCTTTTTTCTGGCCACTCTTCCGTAAAGCCCAGCTCTGTGGAGTGTACGGCCTAAAGTGGTCCTATGGAGAGATACTCCAATCTCCGCTGTGGAGCTTTGCAGCTCTTTTAGGGATATCTTTGGTCTCTTTGTTGCCTCTCTGATTAATGCCCTCCTTGCCTGGTCCGTGAGTTTTGGTGGGCGGCCCTCTCTTGGCAGGTTTGTTGTGGTTCCATATTCTTTCCATTTTTTGATAATGGATTTAATGGTGCTCCGTGGGATGTTCAAAGTTAATTATATTTTTTTATAACCCAACACTGATCTGTACTTCTCCACAACTTTGTCCCTTACCTGTTTGGAGAGCTCCTTGGTCTTCATGGTGCCGCTTGCTTGGTGGTGCCCCTTGCTTAGTGGTGTTGCAGACTCTGGGGCCTTTCAGAACAGGTGTATATATACTCAGATCATGTGACACTTAGATTGCACACAGGTGGACTTTATTTAACTAATTATGTGACTTCTGTAGGTAATTGGTTGCACCAGATCATATTTAGGGGCTTCATAGCAAAGGGGGTGAATACATATGCACGCACCACTTTTCCGTAATTTATTTTTTTGAATATTATGAAACAAGTTATTTTTTTCATTTCACTTCACCAATTTGGACTATTTTGTGTATGTCCATTACATGAAATCCAAATAAAAATCTATTTATATTACAGGTTGTAATGCAACAAAATAGGAAAAACACCAAGGGGGATGAATATTTCTGCAAGGCACTGTACCCCATAATGACAAAGCGAAAACAGGTTTTTAGAAAATGTTGATAATTTATTAAATAAATAAAAAATTAAAACATATTTACATAAGTATTCAGACCCTTTGCTATGAGACTCGAAATTGAGCTCAGGTGCATCCTGTTTCCATTGATCATCCTTGAGATGTTTCTACAGCTTAATTGGAGTCCCCCTGTGGTAAATTCAATTGATTGGACATTATTTGGAAAGGCACACACCTGTCTATATAAGGTCCCACAGTTGACGGTGCATGTCAGAGAAAAAACCAAGCCATGAGGTTGAAGGAATTGTCCGTAGAGCTCCGAGACAGGATTGTGTCAAGGCACAGATCTGGGGAAGGGTACCAAAACATTTCTGCAGCATTGAAGGTCCCCAAGATCACAGTGGTATGTCAGATTTGACCTAGATAGTTTGTGTATATAGTTCTGTCCTTGAGCTGTTCTAGTCTATTAATGTTATGTGTTATGTCATGTTTCATGTTATGTGTGGACCCCAGGAAGAGTAGCTGCTGCTTTTGCAACAGCTAATGGGGATCCTAATAAAATACCCCAAAAAAGTGGCCTCCATCATTCTTAAATGGAAGAAGTTTGGAACCACCAAGACTCTTCCTATAGCTGGCTGCCCGGCCAAACTGAGCAATTGGGGGAGAAGGGCCTTGGTCAGGGAGGTGACCAAGAACCCGATGGTCACTCTGACAGAGCTCCAGAGTTCCTCTGTGGAGATGGGAGAACCTTTCAGAAGGACAACCATCTCTGCAGCACTCCACCTATCAGGCATTTATGGTAGAGTGGCCTGACGGAAGCCACTCCTCAGTAAAAGGCACATGACAGCCCACTTGGAGTTTGCCAAAAGGCACCTAAAGGACTCTCAGACCATGAGAAACAAGATTCTCTGGTCTGATGAAACCAAGGTTCAACTCTTTACGCCTGAATTTAATTTTTTTTACATTTACATTTTTAGTCATTTAGCAGACACTCTTATCCAGAGCGACTTACAGTTAGTGAGTGCATACATTATTTTTTTATTTTTCATACTGGCCCCCCCGTGACAAGCGTCACGTCTGGAGGAAACCTGGCACCATCCCTACGGTGAAGCATGGTGGTGGCAGCATCATGCTGTGGGGATGTTTTTCAGCAGCAGGGACTGGGAGACTAGTCAGGATCGAGGGAAAGATGAACGGTGCAAAGTACAGGAAGATAATTGATGAAAACCTGCTCCAGAGCGCTCAGGACCTCAGACTGGGTCAAAGGTTCACCTTCCAACAGGACAAAAACCCTAAGCACACAGCCAAGACAACGCAGGAGTGGTTTCGGGACAAGTCTTTGAATGTCCTTGAGTGGCCCAGCCAGAGCCTGGACTTGAACCCGATCGAACATCTCTGGAGACACCTGAAAATAGCTGTGCAGCAACGCTCCCCACCCAACCTGACAGAGCTTGAGAGGATCTGCAGAGAAGAATGGGAGAAACTCCCCAAATACAGGTGTGCCAAGCTTGTAGTGTCATACCTAAGAAGACTTGAGGCTGTAATCGCTGCCAAATGTGCTTAAACAAAGTACTGAGTAAAGGGTCTGAATACTTACGTAAATGTGTTATTTCGGTTTTTTATTTGTAATACATTTGCTAATATTTCTAAAAACCAGTTTTTGCTTTGTCATTATGGGGTATTGTGTGTAGATTGATGAGGGGAAAGGAAAGTTTAATCAATTTTAGAATAAGGCTGTAACGTAACAAAATGTGTAAAAAGTCAAGGGGTCTGAATAATTTCCCAAATGCACTGTATCTGGAGTAAAAAAATTAATATATATTATTACAAAACTAAATGTCAGAATTACAGCATAATTGCTGATTTATTATCACTGCTATGCGTGTTGTTTGCTGGCACGGTTCTAGAATCCAACAGAAAGTAGATGTCTCCTGTGTGTCATCCATCCTGTCTGTGTGTTGTACCAGGGCCTCTTCAGGATCGCAGCAGGGACCTCCAAACTGAAGAAGCTCAAGGCTGCTCTGGACTGTTCCACCTCACAGCTGGAGGAGTTCTACTCGGACCCCCACGCTGTCGCTGGTACGGTCATAACCCCCACTCACATATTATCAATGTTTTATACATGTTTCAGAAAGTGTTTTCAAGTAATGTAACTGAAATGTTTGTCAGACCATTGCTCACATAATTGTCCTTTCATTCCAGGAGCCCTGAAGTCTTACCTGAGAGAACTGCCTGAACCTCTGATGAGCTTCCAGCTTTACGATGAGTGGATTCAGGCGTCTAGGTAAGCCACCACCACACACCGCATTCAATAGCAGACATCCATTCAATTCGGGCTCCCGAGTGGCGCTACGAACTAAGGCACTGCATCGCAGCCGGCCGCAACCGGGAGAACCATGAGGCGGTGCACAATTGGCCCAGCGACTTCGGTCGCCAGCTGTACGGTGTATCCTCTGACATGTTGGTGCGGTTGGCTTCCGGATTAAGCGAGTAGTGTGTCAAGAAGCAGTGCGGCTTGGCGGGGTCATGTTTCGGAGGACGCATGGCTCTCGACCTTCGCCTCTCCCGAGTCCGTACGGGAGTTGCAGCGATGGGACAAGACTGTAACTTCCAATTTGGATATCCCGAAATTGGGGAGAAAAAGGGGTTTAAAATGTTTTACTAAAGGAGAAGTTGTAGAAATGAAAAGTCAAAAAGGAGTGAAATTATGGCAACCATGAAACAGGTCTGTGATTGTCCCTCTGTGTCTCTCCCCAGTGTTTCAGAGCCAGACAAGCGTCTGCAGGCCCTCTGGGTTGTGTGTGATCAACTACCAAAGAACAACAAAGCCAACCTAAGGTGGGTTACAGATTTTTTTTATTTTACCTTTATTTAACTAGGTAAGCCAGTTGAGAACAAGTTCTCATTTACAACGGCGACCTGGCCAAGATAAAGCAAAGCAGTGCAATAAAAACAACAACACAGAGTTACATATGGGGTAAACGAAACAAAAAGTCAAAAATACAACAGAAAATATATATACAGTGTGTGTGAATGTAGTAAATTATGAAGGTAAGGCAATAAATAGGCCCATAGTTACAATTTCGTATTAACACTGGAATGATGTGCAAAAGATTATGTGCAAATAGAGATACTGGGGTGCAAATGAGCAAAATAAATAACAATATGGGGATGAGGTAGTTGGATGGGCTAATTTCAGAATGGCTGTGTGCAGGTGCAGTGATCGGTAAGCTGCTCTGACAACTGAGGCTTAAAGTTAGTGAGGGAGATAAGAGTCTCCAGCTTCAGAGAATTTTGCCAGTTCGTTCCAGTCATTGGCAGCAGAGAACTGGAAGGAATGGCGTCCAAAGGAGGTGTTGGCTTTGGGGATGACCAGTGAGATATACCTGCTGGAGCGCAGACTACAGGTGGGTGTTGCTATGGTGACCAGTGAGCTAAGATAAGACAGGGATTTGCCTAGCAGTGATTTATAGATGACCTGGAGCCAGTGGGTTTGGCGACGAATATGTAGTGAGGGCCAGCCAACGAGCATACAGGTCACAATGGTGGGTAGTATATGGGGCTTTGGTGACAAAACGGATGGCACTGTGATAGACTACATCCAATTTGCTGAGTAGAGTGTTGGAGGCTATTTTGTAAATGACATCGCCGAAGTCAAGGATCAGTAGGATAGTCAGTTTTACGAGGGCATGAATGAAGGAGGCTTTGTTGCGAAATAGGAAGCCGATTCTAGATCTAACTTTTGATTGGAGATGCTTAATGTGAGTCTGGAAGGAGAGTTTACAGTCTAACCAGACACCTAGGTATTTGTAGTTGTCCACATACTCTAGGTCAGACCCGCCGAGAGTAGTGATTCTAGTTGGGTGGGCGGGTGCAAGCAGCGTTCGGTTTGAAGAGCATGCATTTAGTTTTACTAGTGTTTAAGAGCAGTTGGAGGCTACGGAAGGAGTGTTGTATGGCGTTGAAGCTTGTTTGGAGGTTTGTTAACACAGTGTCCAATGAAGGGCCAGATGTATACAAAATGGTGTCGTCCGCATAGAGGTGGATCCGAGCGTCACCAGCAGCAAGAGCGACATCATTGATATACACAGAGAATAGAGTCAGCCCGAGAATTGAACCCTGTGGCACCCCCATAGATACTGCCAGAGGTCCAGACAACAGGCCCTCCGATTTGACACATTGAACTCTATCTGAAAAGTAGTTGGTGAACCAGGCGAGGCAGTCAATTGACAAACCAAGGATATTTAGTCTGCCAATAAGAATGCGGTGATTGACAGAGTCGAAAGCCTTGGCCAGGTCGATGAAGACGGCTGCGCAGTACTGTCTTTTATCGATATGGTTATAATATCGTTTAGGACCTTGAGCGTGGCTGAGGTGCACCCATGACCAGCTCGGAAACCGGATTGCATAACGGAGAAGGTACGGTGGGATTCGAAATGGTCGGTGATCTGTTTGTTAACTTGGCTTTCAAAAACTTTCGAAAGGCAGGGCAGGATGGATATAGGTCTGTAACAGTTTGGATCTAGAGTGTCACCCCCTTTGAAGAGGGGGATGACCGCGGCAGCTTTCCAATCTCTGGGGATCTCAGACGTTATGAAAGAGAGATTGAACAGGCTAGTAAATGGCGGCTAATTTTAGAAAGAAAGGGTCCAGATTGTCTAGCCCAGCTGATTTGTAGGGGTCCAGATTTTTTAGCTCTTTCAGAACATCAGCTGTCTGAATTTGTGTAAAGGAGAAGCGGGGGGGCATGGGCAAGTTGCAGCGGAGGGTGCAGAGCTGGTGGCCGGGGTAGTGGGAGCCAGGTGAAAAGCATGGCCAGCCGTAGCAAAATGCTTGTTGAAATTCTCGATTATTGTAGATTTATCGGTGGTGACAGTGTTTCCTAGCCTCAGTGCAGCTGGGAGGAGGTGCTCTTATTCTCCATGGACTTTACAGTGTCCCAAAACTTTTTGGAGTTAGTGCTACAGGATGCAAATTTCTGTTTGAAAAAGCTAGCCTTTGCTTTCCTAACTGATTGTGTATATTGGTTCCTGACTTCCCTGAAAAGTTGCATATCAGGGGCTATATCTGTTCTTAGTTCTGAATTTTTTGAATGGGGCATGCTTATTTAAGATTGAGAGGAAAGCACTTTTAAAGAACAACCAGGCATCCTCTACTGACGGAATGAGGTCAATGTCCATCCAGGATACCTAGGCCAGGTCAATTAGAAAGGCCTGCTCGCTAAAGTGTTTTAGGGAGCGTTTGACAGTGATGAGGGGTAGTCGTTTGACCGCGGACCCATTACGGACGCAGGCAATAAGGCAGTGATCGCTGAGATCCTGGTTGAAGGTGCATTTAGAGGGTAAATTTGTCAGGATGATATCTATGAGGGTGCCCATGTTTACAGATTTCGGGTTGTACCTGGTAGGTTCGTTGATAATTTGTGTGAGATTGAGGGCATCTAGTTTAGATTGTAGGTTGGCCGGGGTGTTAAGCATATCACAGTTTAGGTCACCAAGCAGTACGAACCCTGAGGATAGATGGGGGGCAATCAGTTCACATATGGTGTCCAGGGCACAGCTCGGGGCTGAGGGGGGTCTGTAGCAAGCGGCAACAGTGAGAGACTTATTTCTGGAAAGGTGGATTTTTAGAAGTAGAAGCTCAAACTGTTTGAGCACAGACCTGGATAGTATGATAGAGCTCTGCAGGCTATCTCTACAGTAGATTGCAACCCCACCCCCTTTGACAGTTCTATCGAGACGGAAAATGTTGTAGTTGGGGATGGACATTTCTGAATTTTTGGTGGCCTTCCTAAGCCAGGATTCAGGGTTGGCGGAGTGTGCTAACGCAGTGAATAACTCAAACTTAGGGAGGAGGCTTCTGATGTTAACGTGCAAGAAACCAAGGCTTTTACGGTTACAGAAGTCAACAAATGATAACGCCTGGGGAGTAGGAGTGATACTGGGGGCTATAGGGGTTAACCTCTACATCACCAGAGGAACAGAGGAGGAGTAGAATAAGGATACGGCTAAAGGCTTTAAGAACTGGTCTTCTAGTGCGTTGGGTACAGAGAACAAAAGGGCAAATTTCCGGGCATTGTAGAATAGATTCAGGGCATTATGTACAGACAAGGATATGGAAGGATATGAGTACAGTGGAGGTAAACCTAAGCGTTGGGTAACGATGAAAGAGATAGCATCACTGGAGGCACCGATTTGAGTCGGTCTCCGCGTGTATGGGGGGTGGGACAAAGGAGCTGTCTAAGGCAGGTTGAGCTGGGCTGGGGGCTCTACAGTGAAATAGTACAATAAGAAATAACCGAAACAGCAATAAGCAAGGCATATTGACATGGGAGAGAGGCATAAAGCAATCACAGGTGTTATTCGAGAGAGCTAAGACAACAGCTGGTAATGGAAAAGTTTGGGCTGAGACTAAACATAAACAGGATGCGGTACCGTATAAAGGAACAGTCCAGCAGGCATCAGCTGTATAGCTGAGTTATCATAAGGTCCGGTGAACAGCAATAGGAGAGTTCGGAGGTAGGTCGGGGACTGCTACAGCACTGGCGAGCAAGAGGCTCGGCTTGCTTGTGCTAGCGGGCCGGGGCTAGCAGATGGCTCTTCGTGGTCGACGTCGTAACGGGAAGCCTGTTGAAACCACATCAGACAATTTTGTCGGCAAACCAGTCGTGTTGGATTGGCGGGGCTCCGTGTCAACACTAGGAGGTCCCGTCCGGTTGACAGAGAGGTAGATAGCCAGGAGATGGGCCTGGCACGAGGCTAGCTCAAGGCTAACTGGTGCTTGCTAAGGGGCAATGGTAATTAGCCAACGACGATGGACTGGTGTGTAGTATGAAGATATGTTACCCTTTTTCTTAACAGCTAATGTTTGTCTTACCTGTGCCTGTCTCTGTGTCCTGTGTTGTAGGTATCTGGTGAAGTTCCTGTCCAAGCTGGCTCAGGACAGTGAGGTCAACAAGATGACCCCTAGCAACATCGCCATTGTACTGGGACCAAACATGCTGTGGGCCAAAACGGAGGGGTGAGAAAGAAGGAGAGAAAGGGGGAGAGAGGGGAGGAGAGATGGGGAGTACTCACTATTCAAACTGAAAAACTAAAGTTTGTGTTCACAAGTTGGTGTCATAATCCGGGTGTCCAAGTTGTGTAGTGTTTGTCTATAACAGGGGTGTCAAACTCATTCCATGGAGGGCCTAGTGTCTGCTGGTTTTTGTTTTTTCCTTTCAATTAAGACCTAGACAACCAGGTGAGGGGAGTTCCTTACTAATTAGTTACCTTAATTCATCAATCAAGTACAAGGTAGGAGCGAAAACCTGCAGACACTCGGCCCTCCGTGGAATGAGTTTGACACCATGTCTGCTCTGTGTGCCTGCAGCACTCTAGCTGAGATGGCTGCTGCTACCTCTGTTCACGTGGTGACCATCATAGAACCCATCATACAACACGCTGACTGGTTCTTCCCTGAAGGTGTGTACATATGACCTTTGACCCTTCCGCTTTGACTGGGTCCTCAGGAGGGAGGCCCTTGGTCTCCTCCTGTTTACAGGGTCATGAACAATGAAAACTGGAAAGTCATCATATTTCTTTTTGGTATAAATCTGATTCCTAGGTTACTCAAAAAGATGGATCTGGTTTTTTTTCTTAAATGGCCCCTAAAGGAATTTTACCCGCCTGTTCTCCCCGTGTGCACAGATGTGGAGTTTAATGTATCAGGGATGTTCGCCATGCCCACACCTCCTTCCAACCACATCAACCACTCTATGGAGTACGACTGTTCCACCATCGAGAGGAAGAGGCCTGGTAGCATGGTGGGACCAGAGAACGATACCCTTCGCAAGGACAGGTAACCACCAATAGCTGCACTCCATCACTAGTAGGGTGGGGTGAAAGGTCATAGACTGGTCCTGTACCTGCCAGTGCCCCTAGCTAAGGATATCATGCTAATTAAATCAAAATGATTTTCACTTTTATAATGCAATAATAATTAATTTACACTTTGAATGTTTGGTTTGATTGGTAGCTTTGCTGATTATCACTACTTACATGGGGGGCTTTTTTAAGCGTATTTCTGGATATTTAGTGCTATAGGCGTATTTGTGGCTTTAGACTACAAATCTACTTAACATCCCTTTGTTTGGTGTGGACTACCTCTCGCTCTTTCTCTCTCGCTCTCACGCTCTCGCTCTCTCTCATTCGTTCTCTCGCTCGCGCTCTCGTTCTCTCGCTCGCTCTCTCGTTCTTGCGCTCGCGCTCTCACTCGCTCTCTCGCTCGCTCTCTCTCTCTCTCTCTGGGACTTGGTGATTTCTGTTCTGTGGGTGTCTTTCTCAACATGGCTCTGCCGTCTGTCTCTCTGTCGTCTCCCCTCTCTCTGTAGTTCTGCTAACAAACTGTCGGACCATAACACCATCCCCCGTAGAGGCAGCAACACTTTAGGTAGAAAGCAGCATGTTTCACCTGCCTTCCAGCCCCCCTTACCCCCGGTGGAGGCCCCAGGGCCTGGGCAGGTCACGGGGTGCGTGGCCGAGCTCCAGGCCCTGCCGGGGGGCATGGCATTGGAGGGCTGCCAGCCTAGCCTGGCAATGGGTATGGCTGCCCTGGTGGCAGCGCAGCAGCTTCTAGCTACTACCGCGGAGGGTCTCAGGTAAGGGCGTGGGTGTGTAGTGCACTGGGGAGCACAGACACGCATGCCACTCCACTGCATGATAAAAAAAAACACTTTTGTATGCAACTTTTGATGATGATTTGTTGATAAGGTGTGTGTGCACTGTTTATGGTGATGTCACATTCTAATTCAGAAAATCTATTGCAAACATATTTTATTGAGTGGAAAATGACTGGTATGGGTACCACCATGTTTAGCTAACATTCCACTTCCTGTACTCTGTCATATGCCAAAGTTTAGCATGACAGGAGTGGAATGCTAGCTAAACAGACTGGTACCCATACTAGAAAATGACTACAGAGCATAGAACGTGTGTGACAATCCCACTCACTCACTTCTTTCTGACTCATGTTTTCCTCACACTGTCTAACTGCATTTTCCTCAAACTACTAACAAATAATCATTATAATAACACTGTGGGTACATCTCAGTTCAGACCACTGGCTCTGTTCAACAATGGCTGCTGTGAGCCAGCCATCCTCTGAGGGCCCTCACTCCTCTGCTCTCACACTAGAACACATGGATCAGCAGAAAACTGTTGGACAAAGCTCTGTCCTCTGAAATGTTGTTTGGCCATTAGTTCTGTCCTCTCATTGAGCTTATGTAACTTTTTGAAGGATGTTTTTGAATCCGTTTATGAAAGGATTCTATTCAATGTTAGTTCCAGACTGTTCTATTGGTCAGAATATAGAAGGTAAACCAAAGAAACAGCCCAGTGCAGGACAAAAAGCTCACTCAACATGCATTATATTTCATGGTGGACATTTTCATAGCTCTACACTAATATCTGAGTGCTGTACTTACAATGGTGACCTCTGTTTGTTAAGCAACCCAAAGCGTGACCCCACCTCCACCCAGACCCTCCATCAGTGGAACGGTTCAGGAGGGGGCCACCCGGGCACGGCCAGCCCAGCAGGAGGTGGAGGAGCTGGGGGACAGCTGGGAGTGGGAGGCCCTGGGACTGGATCCATGGGGCCCAGTCCACACATGATGCGCAGAGGTGAAACACTCACTCCTTAAAAGAATTCAGCTCACCTTTATTAGGTTGTTCAACATTTATTTATAGCTACAGTACCAGTCAAAAGTTTGGACACACCTACTCATTCAAGGGTTTTTCTTTATTTTTACTATTTTCTAAATTGTAGAATCATAGTGAAGACTATGAAATAACACATATGGAATCATGTAGTAACCAAAAAAGTGTTAAACAAATCAAAATATATTTTAGATTCTTCAAAGTAGGTACCCTTTGCCTTGATGACAGCTTTGCACACTCTTGCCATTCCCTCAACCAGCTTAATGAGGAATGCTTTTCCAACAGTCTTGAAGGAGTTCCCACATATGCTGAGCACTTGTTGGCTGCTTTTCCTTCACTCTGCGGTCCAACTCATCCCAAACCATCTCAATTGGGTTGAGAACGGGTGATTGTGGAGGCCAGGTCATCTGATGCCGCACTCCATAATTTACATTACATTTACGTCATTTAGCAGACGCTCTTATCCAGAGCGACTTACAAATTGGTGCATTCACCTTATAGCCAGTGGGATAACCACTTTACAATATGTTATTTTTTTTATTTTTATTTTTTTAAATTGTGGGGTAAGGGGGGGTAGAAGGATTACTTTATCCTATCCCAGGTATTCCTTAAAGAGGTGGGGTTTCAAGTGTCTCCGGAAGGTGGTGAGTGACTCCGCTGTCCTGGCGTCGTGAGGGAGCTTGTTCCACCATTGGGGTGCCAGAGCAGCGAACAGTTTTGACTGGGCTGAGCGGGAACTGTGCTTCCACAGAGGTAGGGGGGCCAGCAGGCCAGAGGTGGATGAACGCAATGCCCTCGTTTGGGTGTAGGGACTGATCAGAGCCTGAAGGTACGGAGGTGCCGTTCCCCTCACAGCTCCGTAGGCAAGCACCATGGTCTTGTAGCAGATGCGAGCTTCAACTGGAAGCCAGTGGAGTGTGCGGAGGAGCGGGGTGACGTGAGAGAACTTGGGAAGGTTGAACACCAGACAGGCTGCAGACATGCAGAGATGCGATTCGCCACCTGGTTATCAGAAGGGGGAAAGGAGAAGATTAGTTGTGTGTCGTCTGCGTAGCAATGATAGGAGAGGCCATGTGAGGATATGACAGAGCCAAGTGACTTGGTGTATAGCGAGAATAGGAGAGGGCCTAGAACTGAGCCCTGGGGGACACCAGTGGTGAGAGCACGTGGTGCAGAGACAGATTCTCGCCACGCCACTTGGTAGGAGCGACCGGTCAGGTAGGACGCAATCCAAGAGTGAGCCGCGCCGGAGATGCCCAACTCGGAGAGGGTGGAGAGGAGGATCTGATGGTTCACAGTATCAAAGGCAGCAGACAGGTCTAGAAGGACAAGAGCAGAGGAGAGAGAGTTAGCTTTAGCAGTGCGGAGAGCCTCCGTGACACAGAGAAGAGCAGTCTCAGTTGAATGACCAGTCTTGAAACCTGACTGGTTTGGATCAAGAAGGTCATTCTGAGAGAGATAGCAAGAGAGTTGGCTAAAGACGGCACACTCAAGAGTTTTGGAGAGAAAAGAAAGAAGGGATACTGGTCTGTAGTTGTTGACATCAGAGGGATCGAGTGTTGGTTTTTTGAGAAGGGGTGCAACTCTCGGTCTCTTGAAGACGGAAGGGACATGAGTTGATGAGCGAGGTGAGGTAAGGGAGAAGGTCACCAGAGATGGTCTGGAGAAGAGAGGAGGGGATAGGGTCAAGCGGGCAGGTTGTTGGGCGGCCGGCCGTTGCAAGATTTCATCTGGAGAGAGAGGGGAGAAAGAAGTCAAAGCATAGGATAGGGCAGTGTGAGCAGGACCAGCAGTGTCATTTGACTTAACAAACGAGGATCGGATGTCGTCAACCTTCTTTTCAAAATGGTTGACGAAGTCATCCACAGAGAGGGAGGGGGGATTCAGCAGGGAGGAGAAGGTGGCAAAGAGCTTCCTAGGGTTAGAGGCAGATGCTTGGAATTTAGAGTGGTAGAAAGTGGCTTTAGCAGCAGAAACAGATGAAGAAAATGTAGAAAGGAGGGAGTGAAAAGATGCCAGGTCCGCAGGGAGTCTAGTTTTCCTCCCTTTCTGCATCCTTTGACTCTATGTCCCCTATCCTCCCGGCCGGCTCGGTCCTCCCCTCCTTCTTGGTCAAATAGCCCTTACACAGCCTGGAGGTGTGTTGGGTCATTGTCCTGGTGAAAAACAAATGATAGTCCGACTAAGCGCAAACCAGATGGGATGGCGTATCGCTGCAGATATAGCCCTTGGTTCACCCCAGACTTGACTGCCCTTGACCAGCACAAAAACATCCTGTGGCGTACTGCATTAGCATCGAACAGCCCCCGCGATATGCAACTTTTCAGGGAAGTCAGGAACCAATATACACAATCAGTTAGGAAAGCGAAGGCTACCTTTTTCAAACAGAAATGTGCATCCTGTAGCACAGGAAGTTTTGGCACAGGAAGTAAAGTCCATGGAGAATAAGAGCACCTCCTCCCAGCTGCCCACTGCACTGAGGCTAGGAAACACTGTCACTAACGATAAAGCATTTTGCTCTGGCTGGCCATTCTTTCCACCTGGCTACCCCTACCCCGACCACCAGCTCTGCACCCTCCGCTGCAACTTGCCCATGACCTAGAATATGTGGACAACTACAAATACCTAGGTGTCTGGTTAGACCATAAACTCTCCTTCCAGACTCACATTAAGCATCTCCAATCCAAAGTTAAATCTAGAATCGGCTTCCTATTTCGCAACAAAGCCTCCTTCACTCATGCTGCCAAACATGCCCTCGTAAAACTGACTATCCTACTGATCCTTGACTTCGGCGATGTCATTTACAAAATAGCTTCCAACACTCTACTCAGCAAATTGGATGTAGTCTATCACAGTGCCATCCGTTTTGTCACCAAAGCCCCATATACTACCCACCATTGTGACCTGTACGCTATTGTTGGCTGGCCCTCACTACATATTCGTCGCCAAACCCACTGGCTCCAGCTCATCTATAAATTACTGCTAGGCAAATCCCTGCCTTATCTTAGCTCATTGGTCACCATAGCAATACCCACCCGTAGTATGCGCTCCAGCAAGTATATCTCACTGGTCATCCCCAAAGCCAACACCTCCTTTGGCCGCCATTCCTTCCAGTTCTATGCTGCCAATGACTGGAACGAACTGCAAAAATCTGAAGCTGGAGACTCTTATCTCCCTCACTAACTTTAAGCATAAGTTGTAAGAGCAGCTTACCGATCACTGCACCTGTACACAGCCCATCTGTAATTAGCCCACCCAACTACCTCATCCACAAATTGTTATTTATTTTGCTCATTTGCACCCCAGTATCTGTTTGCACATCATCTTCTGCACATCTATCATTCCAGTGTTAATACTACATTGTAATTATTTTGCACTATGGCCTATTTATTGCCTTACCTCCATAACTTACTACATTTGCACACACTGTATATAGATTTTCTGTTGTGTTATTGACTGTACATTTTGTTTATCCCATATGTAACTCTGTGTTGTTGTTGTTTTTATCGCACTGCTTTGCTTTATCTTGGCCAGGTCGCAGTTGTAAATGAGAACTTGTTCTCAACTGGTTTACCTGGTTAAATAAAGGTTAAAAAAAAAAGAAAAAAAAAAAAGAACATGCGGAGATCATCCGTTCACCTACTCTGCGTCTCACAAAGACACGGCGGTTGGAACCCAAAATCTCAACTTTGGACCCATCAGACCAAAGGCCATATTTACACCGGTCTAATGTCCATTGCTCGTGTTTCTTGGCCCAAGCAAGTCTCTTCTTCTTATTGGTGTCCTTTAGTAGTGGCTTCTTTGCAGCAATTCGACCATGAAGGCCTGATTAACGCAGTCTCCTCTGAACAGTTGATGTTGAGATGTCTGTTACTTGAACTCTGTGAAGCATTTATTTGGGCTGCTGAGGTGCAGTTAACTCTAATGAACTTATCCTCTGCAGCAGAGGTAACTCTGGGTCTTCCTTTCCTGTGGCGATCCTTGTGAGAGCCAGTTTCATCACAGCGCTTTATGGTTTTTGCGACTGCACTTGAAGAAACTTTAAAAGTTCTTGACATTTTCTGGATTTACTGACCTTCATGTCTTAAAGTAATGATGGACTCTCATTTCTCTTTGCTTATTTGAGCTGTTCTTGCCATAATATGGACTTGGTATTTTACCAAAAAGGGCTATCTTCAGTATACCACCCCTACCTTGTCACAACACAACTGATTGTCTCAAACCCATTAAGAAGGAAAGAAATTCCACAAATGTACTTTTAACAAGGCACAACTGTTAATTGAAATGCATTCCAGGTGACTACCTCATGAAGGTGGTTGAGAGAATGTGAAGAGTGTGCAAAGCTGTCATCAAGGCAAAGGGTACCTACTTTGAAGAATCTCAAATATAAAATATATTTTGATTTGTTTAACACTTTTTTGGTTACTACATGATTCCATATGTGTTATTTCATAGTCTTCACTATGATTCTACAATGTAGAAAATAGTACAAATAAAGAAAACCCTTGAATGAGTAGGTGTGTCCAAACTTTTGACTGGTACTGTGTAATGGATATGGTATCATGAGGAAATTTGAATAAAGAAGCTGTTCTGTTCTTTTTCATTAGTAAGCCTCTTATTACAAGGTAATGTGCACTAGTAGTTATAGTGTTACATTTGACATAGATTTAAAAGCATGCTACACTGGATGCCTAACTTTTGCAGAGTGTGAGACCTATTCATTTGAATGAAACCTGGGTGTAAGCAACGCGGTTCCGTGAGAGGCGCTGGTTCTATTTTTAAGAATTGAACGCCTCATGCCCAAGAACACTACATAAAGTATTTTGGGCTCTGCTCGGGCTGGCTATATTTTACGGGTCCAGTGTAGCAGCTAGAAACCCACTGTTTTTTTGACACCCCAGTGTAGCTCTCCCCTGTTAGACATAGACGTGCAATTTCAGGTAGCTTCAAATATATGTAGACATAAGATATATTCTGAAGTCCACCTCTCTCTCCACTATCCAGGTACAAAGAAGCTAGCCCCTGCCCCTCCCAAGCCGTCCAACCCCCCTTCAGGCCAGCCCATTAACCCCACCAACCACCACCCCTCCTCAGGCCAGGGGCAGTCCCTCAGCCCCTCTCCCAGACCCCTCTCCTCCTCAAGCCACTCCCCTACCTCCCCCACCCTGCCCACACCCCAGCCCTCCACCACCCCTCGCCGCCACTCCAACAACCAGCCCCCCATCCAGGCCCCCAACCACCCACCCCCACAGCCCCCCACACCCTCACAGGTCAGCCCCCCGTTCCCAACCCAGGGCCCTCAGCCAGCCCACAGGAGACCACCCGGGGGAGGAATACTCTCCTACAGACACCCCCACCCCGCCTGACACACCTCCACCCTCCACCGTCCCCCAGGACATACCCGGTGCACATCCTGCCTCCACCTCGCCCTTCCAGTCAGGCTCCCTCCCCCGGCCACGCCCCGTCCCCAAACCAAGAAACAGGCCCAACATTCCTCCGCCCCCTCAGCCCCCCACACAGGGAAATGATACCAATGGGATCTGCAGCACAGCCTACAAAATCATGGGTGAGTCCAGTCAAGTGATGCTTTATTGTCCCATGAAGGGAGATTAATTTGGTTGTTGGCAACACGTCACAGAAGGACATTAACAACTAATTCTAAAAACAGACATAGAACTGACACACTATATATACAGTGGGGAGAACAAGTATTTGATACACTGCCGATTTTGCAGGTTTTCCTACTTACAAAGCATGTAGAGGTCTGTAATTTTTATCATAGGTACACTTCGGAATCAGGTGCAGTTAATACAGGTAATGAGTGGAGAACAGGAGGGCTTCTTAAAGAAAAACTAACAGGTCTGTGAAAGCCGGAATTCTTACTGGTTGGTAGGTGATCAAATACTTATGTCATGCAATAAAATGCTAATTAATTACTTAAAAATCATACAATGTGATTTTCTGGATTTTTGTTTTAGATTCCATCTCTCACAGTTGAAGTGTACCTATGATAAAAATTACAGACCTCTACATGCTTTGTAAGAAGGAAAACCTGCAAAATCGGCAGTGTATCAAATACTTGTTCTCCCCACTGTATAAAGTATGTGGACACCCCTTCAAATTAATGGATTCGGCTATTTCAGCCACACCGTTGCTGACAGGTGTATAAAATCGAGCACACCGCCATGCAATCTCCATAGACAAACATTGGCAGTAGAATGGCCCATCCCGAAGAACTCAGTGACTTTCAATGTGGCACCGTCATAGGATGCCACCTTTCCAACAAGTCAGTCAAATTTCTGCCCTGCTAGAGCTGCCCCGGACAACTGTAAGTGCTCTTATTGTGAAGTGGAAACGTCTAGGAGCAACAATGGCTCAGCCGCAAAGTGGTAGGCCACACAAGCTCACAGAAGGGGACCGTATCGCGTAATAATCGTCTGTCCTCAGTTGCAACACTCACTACAACGTTCCAAACTGCCTCTGGAAGCAACATCAGCACCAGAACTGTTCGTCGGGAGCTTAATGAAATGGGTTTCCATGGCCAAGCAGCCGCACACAAGCCTAAGATCACCATGCGCAATGCTAAGCGTTGGCTGGAGTGGTGTAGAGCTCGCGCCGCCATTGGACTCTGGAGCAGTGGAAGTGAGTTCTCTGGAGTGATGAATCACGCTTCACCATCTGGTAGTCCAACGGACAAATCTGGGTTTGGCGGATGCAAGGAGAACGCTACCTGCCCCAATGCATAGTGCCAACTGTAAAGTTTGGTGGAGGAGGAATAATGGGATTGGGCTGTTTTTCATGGTTGGGGCTAGGCCTCTTAGTTCCAGTGAAGGGAAATCTTAACGCTACAGCATACAATGACATTATAGACGATTCTGTGCTTCCAACTTTGTGGCGACAGTTTGGAGAAGGTTTTTTCCTGTTTCAGCAGGACAATGCCCCCGTGCACAAAGCGAGGTCCATACAGAAATGGTTTGTCGAGATCGGTGTGGAAGAACTTGACTGGCCTGCACAGAGCCCTGACCTCAACCCCATCGAATACCTTTGGGATGAATTGGAAGGCTGACTGCGAGCCAGGCCTAATCGCCCAACATCAGTGTCCGACCTCCCTAATGCACTTGTGGTTGAATGGAAGGAAGTTCCCGCAGCAATGTTCCAACATCTAGTGGAAAGCCTTCCCAGAAGAGAGGAGACTGTTGTAGCAGCAAAGGGGGGACCAACTCCTTATTAATGCCCATGATTTTGGAATGAGATATTTGACAATGCAGGTGTCTACGTACTTTGGTCATGTAGTGTATAACAACAATCCCTTTCAGTTTATAGTATTGGTTCAGTACTGCCTTCTCACTTGTGTATTTTCCTCTAGTGTTGAAAGTACATTGACAATGTTTTATCTCTAAAAGTCCTGTGTCCACAGGTTAAGGAGCATCTATGAAAGAGGTTTGTCAGGACTTGTATTCTGCAGCTGCTGCACGTCATCTGTTTCTGCATTACTCCATTACCACAACATACTTTTAGAAACCTACCACTTGTGCCTGCTTTTCCAATAGATGTTTTATCATCGTTCTCAATGGTCATGAATCATCATGACTTTCAACCTTCATTATTAAATCATTTAAATGTCAGTAACATTTTGATGTAGGGTTTGCAAAGGACATCTCTAATTGGTTTGTCTGTAAATTATGAGAGGATACCAGAAACTGAAAACCGATTTGATTCATGGAATTGGCAGAATATTAACTTTTTTTTATTTGATTCTGTCAGTATGTCTTTTGCAAACCCTTCAATTGCATTTGCTCTCCCTCTGGAAATGTACTTTTTTTTCAATGAATATATTTTGTTAAGTCATTGTTTTCATCTTGATTAGAAGACTCTGAAGTGGACACCCTCCTTGTCTTGGCCTGTACTATTGTACATAAATAAACAACATCAGAATATCATTATAGTATGATCAGACCATTTAGGGTAAAAGTACTGCATCCCTATGGTCTAGAGCTGGGTGATATGGACAAAAATACATATCGCCATAAATTGCCTGAATTGATGCGATAGCGATAAATAGAACGATATGTTTAAAACATTATTGTGCACCACCGTTTTTTTAAATGATCCTTTTTAAACTACTAATACTAGTTTGACGGTTGTAGCCATCAATTGGCCCATTAACAATTACCCAGATTAGCAAAGGTATTTCATTTCAAACTTAATTTCTCTAGTACAGGCAATTTATCGTAATGAACGATATCAGCAAAATGCCTGTGATAACTGATCGGTATGGTCGGTGTCGATTTAGTTTTCGGTTTATCTTCCCAGCTCTACTATAGCCTGTCTTGTCTTGGTGTTTTAGTGTGGCAACCCAACCGCATCAGGTTTTAGTGTGGCAACCCAACCGCATCAGGTTTTAGTGTGGCAACCCAACCGCATCAGGTTTTAGTGTGGCAACCCAACCGCATCAGGTTTTAGTGTGGCAACCCAACCGCATCAGGTTTTAGTGTGGCACCCAACCGCATCAGGTTTTAGTGTGGCAACCCAAACCGCATCAGGTTTTAGTGTGGCAACCCAACCGCATCAGGTTTTAGTGTGGCAACCCAACCGCATCAGGTTTTAGTGTGGCAACCCAACCGCATCAGGTTTTAGTGTGGCAACCCAACCGCATCAGGTTTTAGTGTGGCAACCCAACCGCATCAGGTTTTTGTGTGGCAACCCAACCGCATCAGGTTTTAGTGTGGCAACCCAACCGCATCAGGTTTTAGTGTGGCAACCCAACCGCATCAGGTTTTAGTGTGGCAACCCAACCGCATCAGGTTTTAGTGTGGCAACCCAACCGCATCAGGTTTTAGTGTTCCGGTATGCATGGGACAGGATTGGGTTTAGAAGGTGCATGCAGAATAGTGATGACAGCAGCAATGTGGTTTTCAAAAGTGAAATGGCTGCTTTATATTCCTTTATGATGGAACGTGGATAGCATCAGCATTACTCTGTTGAAAAATAAATCTGTGGTCTCGGCATCCTCTCTGAAATGCTGGCACTTAACGCTACTTGATGATTCACTGCTATTTTCTTTTTTTGATCTTGAAGCCAATGGAAAATGGTCAACAATGGTAGTAGATTGCATAGGTTGACGTCACTGTTTGGATGTCAGGTCCTTCAGATTGAGGATGTGACAGTCTGTACTGGAGGTTGAATTAGCATTTTGCTTGTCTCTCTTTATGCACATCAACCATGCTTGCCAAAACGTACTAACATTGAACACATATTTTCAAGTCACTTTTTGATGATTTTAAAATCAACTATTTAGTTTTCCCCTTCAGGAATTTCTATTAATTGAATTCTTAGTACTTTTACTTTGTTAATCCACGATATTTAGCTAAAGTATGATTCAGTGTCTGATTTGATACAATCACTCAACAAACTACTACAGCTTAAGACTTAACAGTAACTCCTCAGTCAGCTGGAGCAGTAACATTTCACTCTCTCTGTCCTGTCCAGACCCAGTGCTGTCTCTCAAAGGGTTGACCCGAGCCTTCGTCCCTGAGTTTGCTGTGGACCAGCAGCCAGTGACCACCCCCTCCATGGCCCCCATGACGCCCGTGCCCCAGCCCAAAGACTCAGACCTGGACACAGAAAGTACCGTCCTATAATGAAGAGGACTGGGCTTGGCTCTCTGTCCCCTCTCCATCTCCTCTCCAGGTGTGGGTAGAAGTTGACCCTAACCACAGGTCCAGGGTCAGATATTAGTTTCATCCCCTAATGGATAACTGTACGACTAGGGGTAGGGAGATCTGGTCCTAGATCTGTGGTTAGTGGTAACTTCTACCTCAGGCTCCCCTCAGATCACCACACCTCTGCTGTTCTCTGCCAACTCCACCTCCGTGTCCACCACACACTAACTTACCCACCATCATCACCCCATTGGTCCGCTCCACCTCAGCCCTTTTACAGCTACTACTATATACAATCAACTCGACCACCCTAGGGGGACTACAGAACAGAACAGCCTTGATTAAAGCTTTGTAAAAACAAATTGGGATGAATAAATAGAGAGTTTGGAATGGAAACGGTATGTATTTGCATGGGATGTTGCACCTGAAGGGACTGGTAGTATTGAGTGGGTTTGTTAACAGTGGACAGACAGACTTTGATATTGGTGTGAGGTGTTTTGTTGTTGATTATGATGATGGCCTTAGAACTGAAGAATACTATTTGTAAATGTAAAGCACAGGAAATGTGGGTAAAAGTAGAAACCAGAACAAAAACAATGTGTAGCTTGTGACTGCAGGTTTCCAGTCGTCTCAAACACTTTGACCTTTTTATCCTTCGCTCTATGTATTTATTTCCAAAAACGCATTCCCTGTGGCTTGAGTTAAAAATCATGCAGTTTTCTGAATCATGCCTTACTGGTTCCATAACTCGTTGTAGCAGTATTAGGTCTATAGACTGTGTATATGCTGTACGTCTTGGCTTGTAGGTGCCTTCCTAACCTTCTGTGTTTACGCTGATGTTGGGGCATTGAAGTGACAGTTTCCTGTATAAGTGAATGTTGGAAAGGACGGTTTAAGCGCTTATACTATAGCTACTTTGTCATCTGTCTAGGGAATCACTTCAACAGTTGATATTGAACCAAGTCTAAACCCCACAAGCGCTTGCTTTCCAGTGAACAGGTTTCTATATGGAAGATCATTCTGCTATCTTTCCCACGGAGCTGGGTTTTACACATAAACCGATGTAATAACCTAGTAGTGAGGTGGTGTTGGATTCACTAGACCAGAAAAGCTTCAATATCATTAATTTTTTATACGTATTGCTTTTCCTTTACTATAGTGCAGGGTTGTGCTCCTAGAGAACAGAACCTGAATGGTACCAACAAAAGGGCACATTTCTGGATGCTTCAGTTGCCCTGAACACGTTCAGTAATTGTACTGCTTTTCAGAGACGATCATCATCCATGTAGTCTTACTGAGAGACGATCATCATCCATGTAGTCTTACTGAGAGACGATCATCATCCATGTAGTCTTACTGAGAGACGATCATCATCCATATAGTTTTACTGAGATTCCCCCCTCTCTTCTCCTTTAACTTGCTGCCTTATCCTTCTGCAGAAAGAGCACCTTGTTTCGAGGCTCTGAAAGACTAACAAATGCCATTAAACTAGAAATGTTAAAGCTGCATTTTGAGCTCAGCTAGTTTTGTATGCAGACTGTTGAGCTTAAACAAGAAATAAATACAATGTCAAATGAATGCTTGGTTATACTCTCTGTCCAAATAAAATAAAGTATATGAAGAAAAAGTTGAAATGGTTGTGAGTCATGGCTTAATCACATACATACGCATACATGCAGATATACAGTAAGAAAGTGTTTTATTTGGTGTTACTGATGGGAGGAGGATTGTCTAGTAATAATTTCTTCATTTCTTCTACCAGTAAAGTCTGCGGTGTGTTGGCCACACGATTTCTAAAATAAAAGACAAATAGTTGTTTTTAAATTATTCTGATTCCCGACTGAGGTCTATGTTCAATCCGGATTGCGGAAGATCTGCGCTATAGCGTGATTTAAATTTAAAGGCAATGTTCCCGCGTTCGAGGAGACTGCATGCACGGTAAATACTGCAGATGTCTGCAATTATCTTTAAATTTCAATCACGCTATAACGCGGATCTAGCCCTAGATAAAACGCACACAAAGCATTTACCGGAGTCCATGAGGATGTTGGTAGGCTTGGTGTAGGTTTGTAGGAAGGTGGATGGGGAGTGCAGCACAGGACTCTGACAGAGGTAGATGACTGTATCCTCCTCTAACAGAAGAGCCTGCTCCTGATCATCCTGGCCTGAACCGCTACCCTGTAACACACACACTCTCACACTGAACAGCTACCCTATAGATTTGAACAACACACACACACACACACACACTGAACAGCTACCCTATAGAACAGCACACAGCTTTACTTGGCTCATCACGCTCTACGACTCCTTGTGGCGGGCCTGGCACCTGCAGGCTGACTTCAGTCATCAGTTGAGCTGTGTTTCCTCCGACACATTGGTGCAGCTGGCTTCTGTGTTAAGCGGGCCGGTGTTAAGAAGCGCGTTTTGGCGGGTCATGTTTCTGAGGACGCATGACTCGACCTGCGCCTCTCCCGAGCACGTTGGAGAGTTGCAACGATGAGACGAGATCGAAATTGGGGATAAAATGCAAACAAAAAAACTAAACAAAAACGGCAGCCCCCGGACCTCATATGGTTTAGAACAACATAACACACTGAACAGCTACCCTATAGAACAACACACACACTGAACAGCTACCCTATAGAACAACACACACACTGAACAGCTACTCTATAGAGCAACACACACACTGAACAGCTACCCTATAGAACAACACACACTGAACAGCTACTCTATAGAGCAACACACACACTGAACAGCTACCCTATAGAACAACACACACACTGAACAGCTACTCTATAGAGCAACACACACACTGAACAGCTACCCTATAGAACAACACACACTGAACAGCTACTCTATAGAGCAACACACACACTGAACAGCTACCCTTTAGAACAACACACACACAGAACAGCTACCCTATAGAACAACACACACACTCAACAGCTACTCTATAGAGCAACACACACACTAAACAGCTACCCTATAGAACAACACACACTGAACAGCTACCCTATAGAACAACACACACTGAACAGCTACTCTATAGAGCAACACACACACTGAACAGCTACCCTATAGAACAACACACACACTGAACAGCTACTCTATAGAGCAACACACACACTGAACAGCTACCCTATAGAACAACACACACTGAACAGCTACTCTATAGAGCAACACACACACTGAACAGCTACCCTATAGAACAACACACACTGAACAGCTACTCTATAGAGCAACACACACACTGAACAGCTATCCTATAGAACAACACACACACTGAACAGCTACCCTATAGAACAACACACACTGAACAGCTACTCTATAGAGCAACACACACACTGAACAGCTACCCTATAGAACAACACACACTGAACAGCTACTCTATAGAGCAACACACACACTGAACAGCTACCCTATAGAACAACACACACACTGAACAGCTACCCTATAGAGCAACACACACACTGAACAGCTACCCTATAGAACAACACACACACTGAACAGCTACTCTATAGAACCACACAAACAGGCCTGTGACACTCCTCTCATGTAGAGGGCTTACATGCATCAAATCAAAATACCTTACAAAGGAAAGGATGGATTTGTCTTAAAATTGGCATGTACAGACATTCACCACCAACAGTGTTTGCATCTCCTTTACCCTGCGTTTGAGTAGACACACACACATCTTGTAGATCATGGCCAGGCTGTCTGGGACCAGGGTCTCCACGGGCTGGGTCTGTGGGTTGGGGTCCTGGAGGCTGAGGGGCAGCGTCACGAAGCGGTAGCCCCACAACGGGAACATACGTCTCAGCACACAATGAGACACCACCAGGATACGCACCTCCTTCAGTGGGCATCTGGGCCAAAAACATCCAGTCAGATATTACATTTACATAATTTAGCAGACGCTCTGATCCAGAGCGACTTACAATTAGTGAGTGCATTCATTTTCATACTGGCCCCCCGTTGGAAACGAACCCACAACAACCCTGGCGTTGCAAGCGCCATGCTCTACCAACTGAGCTACAGGGGTCCAGATAGCAGAGCAAAGCAAGGACCATCTATCCTCGATGAGGAGGAGTCAGAGGAAATCTTACTTTGGGATTTTCTCCATTTCGTTCAGATCTTCCAGAATCATGTGGAGAACTTCTGAAGAGGACTAAAACCAAAGAAATGCCATTTATAATGCTACTAATGGTGATACACCAACATCTGTAAGTGAGGTAAAATTGTTAATTCTCAACATACCTCCATCAAATGAATGATACTTTTGGGATATAATAGCAGTATGCCAGTGACTTTTTCAGTCTGTGTGTTTTTCTGGAATTTCGACAAAAATTGCTCATAGTATTCTGGAATGAAGACAAGCAGACAGTGAGCAACTCATTCTCTAGAAATACATTCTGGCTAAGATTTTACCTTTTTATTTTTTTACCTGCAATTGCACTTTGATTATCGTCAGCGTTTAGCTTTCTCGTCGCTACATACACCAGTCTATGGATAAAACGTTTCTACAAACCCAAGAGACAGAAACAAGCTGAGTTTAGACGCGCTCACTGCTAAAAACCTTCATTCATTGAAGGGATGCTGATCATGACCCCAAATCTGTATGTTAGCGCGCCATCGCGCGTCCTGTTTGGAAACTTCTATCACATGATAATTTATTGAAGTCTTCAGCCTTACTTTGCAGGTTGTTTTCTGTTTTTCGACATCGGTAAAAAGCGAGTTTTTGTAGGCGTTGAAATACGGATTGACGCTGCCAGGAAGAGATGATGGCAAAGGATTTACTGCCATGTTCCCGTTACTGTGGCAACTGCATCACCACGCGACAAACTGCACTTCATTTGGTCCATGTTCGTCATTAGCTCCAAAGAAGCTCGTGGGTATCAGGCAGTTTATTTGTCAAGCATTTGTCTTTTTACAGATCCAAAACAAGTACAACTGATCCAGAAGCAACCATATGGCCAACATAAAAAGTCAATATTTTTAGAACTATACAAAGTACTCCATTAATATCAATGAAAACATATTTAAAAAAAACACACTTAGGCTATACAAAATGAACATTTCAATAAATTAACAGTAAACTTAAATTGACCTAGAGTTATAATAGGCCTACATTTTAGACCCAACTTGTGAGAATACAATAAAAGTAAACAAATCCAGATGTACAATCATTTTAACACAAAGCAACACCTATAGCAACATGCAAATGCTTGTCATAAAACTGTACTGCACTTGTGGCACGATTTAAATGTGTAGCAGTGTCTTTTTAAACATGATGACAAATTGCAAGCCTGGTACAACAGGTCTGTAAATAAATACATTAGTATTTTCAAGATGGCAGCTCGGACTGAAATGTCTATGTAAAAATGAATTATGAAGGGAAAGTAGAAACACAGGAAATACCTTCAAAACAGCTTTAAATGAACACCAGCAAACAGTGAATATTTGTTCTAAAACAAGATTTTTTAAAAATGCAGTGGAATGGACGGTTCATCAGCAACAACCACAGTGACCCCAAGAGCCGCCTGGACCACTCAATGCTAAAATGGATTGATGTCTTTCAGTTAGCAGCTATTCATATATTAGCGCCAGTGGGTTAACCCTCTTATTTCATGTTGCTCTTCATACTGTAAAACACTTAGGAGAGTGGTATTCTTTGTTGTTTCCACTGCCCAGAGCAAGTTTTGAAATGCCAAATGTTAGGATGACAGCAATTACATTGGCACCAGAAAGCTTCTAAATTTTGTAGTAATAATTCACAGTACATTTGTCATGCCAATGTAATGATTCTTGGTAGGTTAATACTGCATTCTATCATCACAATCTACGAGGCAGTGATTATGTGTTTCTGTTGCACAGCACTTTGCAGATCAAGTTCATCTGTACAAATAATGCTCAGCTCTAGATAACATAACGTATGACTATCAGCCATCTAAAATGTCATAGTCATTTACATATACAGCTAACTGCCAAAATAAAGGAAACACTTGAGTAAATGAGGGATACAAAGTATATTAAAAGCAGGTGCTTCCACACAGGTGTGGTTACTGAGTTAATTAAGCAATTAACATCCCATCATGCTTAGGGTCATGTATAGAAATGGCCAGTTGCCCATTATTTTGGCTACCATGGCAAGAAGAAGAGATCTCAGTGACTTTGAAAGAGGGGTCTTAAAGGTGCATAGGGGATTTAAAGGGTGTGTGTCTCAGTCAACAGATTTCAACCAAATTGAACACTTATGGGAGATTCTGGAGCGGCGCCTGAGACAGCGTTTTCCACTGCTCATTAACAAAACACCAAATTATAGAATTTCTCATGGAAGAATGGTGTAGCATCCCTCAAATATACTGATTTTGTACGTTTGCCCACTGACAAAGACATGATCAGTCTATAATTTTAATGGTAGGTTTATTTGAACAGTCAGCAAAAATGTTATACATTGATTTGCATTTTAATGAGGGAAATAAGTATTTGACCCCTCTGCAAAACATGACTTAGTACTTGGTGGCAAAACCCTTGTTGGCAATCACTGAGGTCAGACGTTTCTTGTAGTTGGTCACCAGGTTTGCACACATCTCAGGAGGGATTTTGTTCCACTCCTCTTTGCAGATCTTCTCCAAGTCATTAAGGTTTTGAGTCTGACGTTTGGCAACTCGAACCTTCAGCTCCCTCCACAGATTTTCTATGGGATTAAGGTCTGGAGACTGGCTAGGCCACTCCAGGACTTTAATGTGCTTCTTCTTGAGCCACTCCTTTGTTGCCTTGGCAGTGTGTTTTGGGTCATTGTCATGGTGGAATACCCATCCACGACCCATTTTCAATGCCCTGGCTGAGGGAAGGAGGTTCTCACCCAAGAGTTGACGGTACATGGCCCCGTCCATCGTCCCTTTGATGCAGTGAAGTTGTCCTGTCCCCTTAGCAGAAAAACACCCCCAAAGAATAATGTTTCCACCTCCATGTTTAATGGTGGGGATGGTGTTCTTGGGGTCATAGGCAGCATTCCTCCTCCTCCAAACACGGCGAGTTGAGTTGATGCCAACGAGCTCCATTTTGGTCTCATCTGACCACAACACTTTCACCCAGTTCTCCTCTGAATCATTCAGATGTTCATTGGCAAACTTCAGACGGCCCTGTATATGTGCTTTCTTGAGCAGGGGGACCTTGCGGGCGCTGCAGGATTTCAGTCCTTCACGGCGTAGTGTGTTACCAATTATTTTCTTGGTGGCTATGGTCCCAGCTGCCTTGAGATCATTGACAAGATCCTCCCGTGTAGTTCTGGGCTGATTCTTCACCATTCTCATGATCATTGCAACTCCACGAGGTGAGATCTTGCATGGAGCCCCAGGCCGAGGGAGATTGACAGTTCTTTTGTGTTTCTTCCATTTGCGAATAATCGCACCAACTGTTGTCCCTGACATCCTTGGAGAGCTCTTTGGTCTTGGCCATGGTGGAGAGTTTGGAATCTGATTGATTGATTGCTTCTGTGGACAGGTGTCTTTTATACAGGTAACAAGCTGAGATTAAGAGCACTCCCTTTAAGAGTGTGCTCCTAATCTCAGCTCGTTACCTGTATAAAAGACACCTGGGAGCCAGAAATCTTTCTGATTGAGAGGGGGTCAAATACTTATTTCCCTCATTAAAATGCAAATACATTTATAACCTTTTTGACATGCGTTTTTCTGGATTTTGTTGTTGTTCTGTCTCTCACTGTTCAAATAAACCTACCACTAAAATGATAGACTGATCATTTCTTTGTCAGTGGGCAAACGTACAAAATCAGCAGGGGATCAAATACTTTTTTCCCCTCACTGTAGTTATAACAACTTGTAGAAGTTATGCCAAGGCGCATTGAAGCTGTTATGGTGGCTTGGGGTGGCCCAACGCCCTATTAAAACACTTGTCTGTGTTTCTGTCACGTCTCCTCCCGTTGCTCCCTTCCGGCGTTCTGATTCGCCGGTCTACTGAGCCACCGGTCTGAGCGCACCACCTCGGCAACACCAGAATGGAAAGCCAATGCACCCAAATCACCTCCAGTGCACCTGCACCTCATCATCACCCCTATATAGCCCTGGACTGTTCAGTGTTGTGTTGTGTGTGATTGTTAGTGTCTTGTCGTGTACTCGCTCTTTGTTGTTCTCTTGCTCAGTGTTAAGTAAACCTTTACATTGTTGATTCCTGCGTCTACGTCCTGCCTCTTCGTATCCTCAGTACTCATCACAGTTTCCATTATGTTGTCAGTTACCTGCACATCTATGCTTTATCGATACAATTTCAATATAATTTCAATTTAATACAATCCAATATAAAATATATACTCATATTATCTAAACATATTCATCTTCATTACTAATTTCTAGTGCCACTTGACCTTACCAGGAAAAACTCTGGACCCTTTGGCTGAGAGTTCTTTCTGGTCAGATCACATGGTCAGGAAGAACTCCTGGCCCTACGGCATTCCGTAGTGTTGAAGATCATGTTGTTTGTGTCCCAGTAACTGTGACTGTTTCTTTGTGTTGTCTTGGCACTTTGGTTGTGGAGAGCAGAGGAGCTATCCAGTCTCTACCAGGCCAGGGGAGAGGGCACTCTGGGGCTGCAGGAGTTCTCAGTGGCCTGGGTCTCTTTCTACCAGGCCAGGGGAGAGGGCACTCTGGGGCTGCAGGAGTTCTCAGTGGCCTGGGTCTCTTTCTACCAGGCCAGGGGAGAGGGCACTCTGGGGCTGCAGGGGTTCTCAGTGGCCTGGGTCTCATTCAGTGCTCTCTGGAAAACAGAACCAATCATCGTACATGAGTCACAGATGCATTTGAATGCTGTCAAATTGTACGGTCAGAGACCTGTCAAGGGCATCATTATGGCTACTGGCTCACCTCAAACTTAGAAGTAAACTCAGCGAAAATGGCGAAGAAGGCCTCAGTGGAGGTGGCCTTGCTGTCCTCTCCAAAGTACGAGGCCACCTTAGTGAACTCGTCCATGGCTCTCAGCTGCAGAGAGTCCAGAGACTGAACCGCTGGGTGACTGTTCTCCAGGAAGCCCTTTATCTCCAGGGTCAAGGGTCAAACTGTCAACTGTCAGACCATTCGAAGCACAGTGACACATTCTTACTAGTAACATACTGACCACTGTTATGGTGTAATTACAGTCAAAAGTTTGGACACACCTACTCATTCAAGGCTTTTTCTTTATTTTTTAAACTATTTTCTACATTGTAGAATAATAGGGAAGACATCAAAACTATGAAATAACACATATGGAATCATGTAGTAACCAAAAAAGTGTTAAACAAATCAAAATATATTTTATATTTGAGATTCTTCAAAGTAGCCACCCTTTGCCTTGATGACAGCTTTGCACACTCTTTGTATTCTCTCAACCAGCTTAATGAGGTAGTCAACTGGAATGCATTTCAATTAACAGGTGTGCCTTGTTAAAAGTTAATTTGTGGAATTTCTTTCCTTCTTAATGTGTTTGAGCCAATCAGTTGTGTTGTGACAAGATAGGGGTGGTATACAGAAGATAGCCCTATTGGTAAAAGACCAAGTCCATATTATGGCAAGAACAGCTCAAATAAGCAAAGAGAAATGACAGTCCATCATTACTTTAAGACATGAAGGTCAGTCAATACGGAAAATTTCAGTTTCTTCAAGTGCAGTCACAAAAACCATCCAGCGCTATGATGAAACTGGCTCTCATGAGGACACCCACAGGAAAGGAAGACCCAAAGTTACCTCTGCTGCAGAGGATAAGTTCATTAGAGTTAACTGCACCTCAGATTGCAGCCCAAATAAATGATTCACAGAGTTAAAGTAACAGACACATCTCAAATTTGAGATTTTTGGTTCCAACCGCTGTGTCTTTGTGAGACGCAGAGTAGGTGAACGGATGATCTCTGCATGTGTGGTTTCCACGTGAAGCATGGAGGAGGAGGTGTGATGGTGTGGGGGTGCATTACTGGTGACACTGTCAGTGATTTATTTAGAATGCAGGGCACACTTAACCAGCATGGCTACCACAGCATTCTGCAGCGCTATGCCATACCAATCTGGTTTGCGCTTAGTGGGACTATCATTTGTTTTTCAACAGGACAATGACCCAAAACAAACCTCCAGGCTGTGTAAGGGCTATTTGACCAAGAAGGAGAGTGATGGAGTGCTGCATCAGATAACCTGGCCTCCACAATCACCCGACCTCAACCCAATTGAGATGGTTTGGGATGAGTTGGACCGCAGAGTGAAGGAAAAGCAGCCAACAAGTGCTCAGCATATGTGGGAACTCCTTCAAGACTGTTGGAAAAGCATTCCTCATGAAGCTGGTTGAGAGAATGTCAATAGTGTGCAAAGCTGTCATCAAGGCAAAGGGTGGCTACTTTGAATAATCTAAAATATAAAATATATTTTGATTTGTTTAACACTTTTTTGGTTACTACATGATTCCATATGTGTTATTTTATAGTTATTGATGTCTTCACTATTATTCTACAATGTAGAAAATAGTAAAAATAAAGAAAAACCCTTGAATGAGTAGGTGTGTCCAAACTTTTGACTGGTAGTGTAAATCAAATCAAATTTTATTTTCCCAATGCGCTGAATACAACAGGTGTAGACTTTACTGTGAAATTCTTACTTACGAGCCCATTCCCAACAATGCAGACTATTACAGTGTAATTACTAACTACAGTGTGTTACTATGTGCGTGAAATGTGTTGTGAAGGGCTTTCTTGTTGTTGATGGAAGGATACACTCATGACGGCAGCGAAGTGATCCTCGGCCGTGGCAGGGATCTTCTGACAGGCTGTCCTGATGTCCTTGATGATGGAGTGGAGGTCAGCCAGCTCAGCTGTCAGGACTCGTTGATTCACTTCAGAGAAAGTTCAATAGAAAACCATGCAGTATGACTCATGTGAGACACATCCCTGATTCACTGCAGAGAAAGTTAAATTGAAAACCATGCAGTATGACTTATATGAGACAAATCCAATGCATAGTGTCTAATGTCAATGCCATTCATTATAAATGCTGTAGTTTTTCAGTCTTATGAGATAACTGCTGTAAGGCATATCTCAATATTGAAAAGTAACTATCAGGAAACTGATTATCAGGAACCTGATAAGGACATGACTTGTAGTACATATTGAAATGCACTAAATGGAACTAATGCATTCTGCTAGTGAACCTCAGAGTTCTGCTGACGGACAGAGCCAGGTAAAGAGCATTGTGTGTTGTTGTCTTACTGTACCTTTGGCTGCGAGTGGCACGGTTGTGAGGTCCCTGGCAAAGTTCAGCAGTTCTGGGAAGTGTTGGCATAGCGATTTGGCAAGAATGTGGAGGAAGGTGGATTTACCATCCACTGTTTTAGTGGTGCTGAGCTGTAAGAAGGAAGGTGAGATAGAATTTGGCATTAGAAAGAGGTCAACACCAAGGCAAAGACAACACAAATCCTAAAAAGACAAATGGGGCTAAAGCCCAGTCAGTTAGAGCATGAACATCCATTCATACCTCAGTGAGAAAGTTGATCTTAAAGCCAGTGGTTTTGTTTGTCTTGGGTTGACCATTGTTCAGGTAATTCCCCATTGCCAGCACAAACTGTAGACAGAAACAGAGGTTTAGATACAGTTTACCAGTAACACATCGTGATCACCACATTATCCATACCTCGGAGTCTGTATCATATTATCTTATCCTATATGATTTTACACACAATGCATCTTCTTTAATAACCTTAGATTACGACAGCAGGGTAACATAAATAATATGAAATAAACAAGAGAGCTGTTTGCCATTTCTCAACCATTAAGCTACTGTTTTCCACTCTCAGGGAGCGAGTTACAATAGTTTTATTACCTCAAGGATCTTGGCCAGTTTCTTGCTGCTTCTGAGTTCTACCGAGGCCCTGTAGATCCATTCGTATCCAGCCTTCATCTCCTCTGTCTTCTCCTGCAGGGTCGTCTTAAAATGGAGGCTCAGCAGGCGAGTCTTATACTCAGGGACCATCAGCATCTGGGCACACACAGATTATGAACTTGAAAAATACTGTCACTATTGCTAGTAAAGTAACATATTACTGTACAGTCGGGGTCAAAAGTTTTGAGAATGACACAAGTATTGGTCTTCACAAAGTTCACTGCTTCAGTGTTATGAGATATTTTTGTCAGATGATACTATGGTATACTGAAGTATAATTACAAGCATTCCATAAGTGGCAAAGGCTTTTATTGACAATTACATTAAGTTTATGCAGAGTCAATATTTGCAGTGTTGATCCTGCTTTTTCAAGACCTCTGCAATCCGCCCTGGCATGCTGTCAATTAACTTCTGGGCCACATCCTGACTGATGGCAGCCCATTCTTGCATAATCAATGCTTGGAGTTTGTCAGAATTTGTGGGTTTTTGTTTGTCCACCCGCCTCTTGAGGATCGACCACAAGTTCTCAATGGGATTAAGGTCTGGGGAGTTTCCTGGCCATGGACCCAAAATGTCGATGTTTTGTTCCCCAAGCCACTTAGTTATCACTTTTGCCTTATGGCAAGGTGCTACATCATGCTGGAAAAGGCATTGGTCGTCACAAAACTGTTCTTGGATGGTTGGGAGAAGTTGCTCTCGGAGGATGTGTTGGTACCATTCTTTATTCATGGCTGTGTTCTTAGGCAAAATTGTGAGTGAGCCCACTTCCTTGGCTGAGAAGCAACCCCACACATGAATGGTATCAGGATGCTTTACTGTTGGCATGACACAGGACTGATGGTAGCGCTCACCTTGTCTTCTCCGGACAAGGTGTTTTCCGGATGCCCCAAACAATCAGAAAGGGGATTCATCAGAGAAAATGACTTTACCCTAGTCCTCAGCAGTCCAATCCCTGTACCTTTTGCAGAATATCAGTCTGTTCCAGATGTTTTTCCTGGAGAGAAGTGGCTTCTTTGCTGCCCTTCTTGACACCAGGCCATCCTCCAAAAGCCTCACTGTGCGTGCAGATGCACTCACACCTGCCTGCTGCCATTCCTGAGCAAGCTCTGCACTGGTGGTGCCCCGATCCCGCAGCTGAATCAACTTTAGGAGACTTCCTGGCGCTTGCTGGACTTTCTTGGGCGCCCTGACGCCTTCTTCACAACAATTGAACCTCTCTCCTTGAAGTTCTTGATGATCCAATAAATGGTTGATTTAGGTGCAATCTTACTAGCAGCAATATCCTTGCCTGTGAAGCCCTTTTTGTGCAAAGCAATGATGACGGCACGTGTTTCCTTGCAGGTAACCATGGTTAACAGAGGAAGAACAATGATTTCAAGCACCACCCTCCTTTTAAAGCTTCCAGTCTGTTATTCTAACTCAATCAGCATGACAGAGTGATCTCCAGCCTTGTCCTCGTCAACACTCTCACCTGTGTTAACAAGAGAATCACTGACATGATGGCAGCTGGTCCTTTTGTGGCATGGCTGAAATGCAGTGGAAATGTTTTTTGGGGATTAAGTAAATTTTCATGGCAAATAGGGACTTGGCAATTAATTGCAATTCATCTGATCACTCTTCATGACATTCTGGAGTATATGCAAATTGCCATCATCAAAACTGAGGCAGCAGACTTTGTGAAAATTAGTATTTGTGTCATTCTCAAAACTTTTGACCACGACTGTAGTAAACTAGTACTACACTCTTAGAAAAAAAGATGCTATCTAGAACCTAAAAGGGTTCGGCTGTCCCCATAGGAAAACCCTTTGAAGAACCCTTTTTGGTTCCAGGTATAACCATTTTGGGTTCTATGTAACTCTTTCCACAGAGGGTTCTACATGGAACCCAAAAGGGTTATACCTGGAACGGAAAAGGGTTCTACCTGGAACCAAAAGGGTTATCCTATGGGGATAGCCGAAGAACCCTTTTGGAACCCTTTTTTCTAAGAGTGTAGATTATACAGTAAAATACTTAAACAACATTTTAAAAACATTCTAGCCACAGTCTAGAGCAGGGTTCCCCAACTGGGTGGTTTTATTTGGTTTTCTGGAAATGTGTTCCCAAGTATTCCCATCCATAATAGAGGGACATGTGATGAAATTATAATGTTTTAGTCAAATATTATATCTGTTTGGGCTTCTTGCGGTTCATTTGCAGTCTACAAATTATTTGTAATTATGTTCCGGCCCACCAACCATCCGCTCAAGAAAGAATCGGTCCGTGGATGAATCTAGATGATGATCCCTGGCCTAGAGGGACAGGCTGGGCCAATACAGACATCATTGGCTGAAACCACCAGTGGCTCCCGACCAACCATTTGGGAAACATTGACACAACAGCGTCTCAGTTACCTGCATGACAAACTGGTCAGGGTCGCTGAGTTTGGCGGAGTCCTGGTCGAAACATTGGTACTGTTTGACTTCCTGGTCATCGGGGGCGTAGAGCAGCAGCTGCTTGATGTGGGCCGGCTCCAGTCTGTCTGTGCTCATAGTCATCAGGACCTTGCGCAGCTCACCTGGAGACAGCTTCAGGTGGGCGATCAGGATGGCTGGGGAGAGGAGGAGTGGAATGATGGGATGGAGGAGAGGAGGTTTATTTGTTTATTTGGACGCCATTAGCTGTTACATTAGCAACTGATACTCTTTCTGGGGTCCACACAAAACAGTCATAGACAATAAAAACAGACCTTAACTGATAAACAACAACAACATGTTTCTGTAGAAATCAGAGAACCTGTGTTTGAATCTCAGAGCCACCTGGCCCTAGAGGGTCTGTTCAGATCATTGAGATAAAGGTTCCTGGGGGCCAAGGCCATGGTCATGGTTCAGATCCCTGGCGGCCAAGGCCATGGTCATGGTTCTGATCCCTGGGGGTCAAGGCCATGGTCATGGTTCAGATCCCTGGGGGCCAAGGTCATGATCATGGTTCAGATCCCTGGGGGCCAAGGTCATGATCATGGTTCAGATCCCTGGGGGCCAAGGCCATGGTCATGGTTCAGATCCCTGGGGGCCAAGGCCATGGTCATGGTTCAGATCCATGGGGGCCAAGGCCATGGTCATGGTTCAGATCCCTGGGGGCCAAGGTCATGATCATGGTTCAGATCCCTGGGGGCCAAGGCCATGGTCATGGTTCAGATCCCTGGGGGCCAAGGTCATGATCATGGTTCAGATCCCTGGGGGTCAAGGCCATGGTCATGGTTCAGATCCCTGGGGGCCAAGGTCATGATCATGGTTCAGATCCCTGGGGGCCAAGGTCATGATCATGGTTCCGATCCCTGGGGGCCAAGGTCATGATCATGGTTCAGATCCCTGGGGGTCAAGGCCATGGTCATGGTTCAGATCCCTGGGGGCCAAGGTCATGATCATGGTTCAGATCCCTGGGGGCCAAGGCCATGGTCATGGTTCTGATCCCTGGGGGTCAAGGCCATGGTCATGGTTCAGATCCCTGGGGGCCAAGGTCATGGTCATACTCACAGGTGTTGTAGGCTTTCTTATGAGACAGAATCTCCACCACGTCTTTCTTTTTAAAGCTCTCGGGCAGGAAGGCTGGCTCTGGAAGAGAGACTGACACATTTAATCACAGTGTAAGGATGCTGCTCTCCAGGCACCAGGGTTGGAAACACTAACAGGCACTAAAGGTGGATGGGTAATGAGAGAAGAGAGGGATGGTAGGTGGTGCCTTATGGAGAATGCATTTGATGAGCAGGTGAATAGACGCGCTTAGTAGACTCCATTGGACAACTTGGTGAACTGTAAACGCATAACAACAACATGGAATATCAGCAATACACTGACACCATGAAACACAAAACAAGCCATGTTGAATTAATGAAAGCAATGTACTTTTCCACAGCTATGAAATAAAATCATTATATTGCAATATACAGTATAGCAGGGTTCCCTTGTCTCAATGGGACTCCCTGTTAAATAAAGGTCAAATAAATACATCAATAAATAAATATATCTGACTATGAGGGTAGAAGGACAATATTAAAAAATGTTATCAACAGAACCAGTGATATGAATACACTATATGATATGACTATGAGATGAGATGTTTGATGAAGAGGTCATAATAAAGAACTTACTGGAACTCCGTTGGGTACCAAAGTGCAACTCTAGATCGAGATACTTCACCATGTCACTCAGTTTGTCATAGTCGGGGTCCTCTCCAAGCTAAAGCAGACAAAGTATCTCACCTGTCAATACATTTCTTAACACAACAACAACAACAAACAGTACTGATTCCAGGTTCAGGGTTAGTACAATAGACTCGACACATGCCTGTCCCCAGATGGTTCCCTCAGAGTTCTCCACCTGCTCCCAGCGCAGTCTCCTCACACTCATGTGGTTGGTGTCCCCAGCACAGGGACTGGAATTGGGCAGCGGAGGCGGGTCACAGGGGGGCGGCAGGGGTGGAGGGGGCGGTGGGGGGACCTTGTGTTTCTGGAGCTCTGACACTGAGGTGGGGGTCTCGTAGGTCTGTGATTGAGGGGGCTGGGGAGGGTGACTCTGGGGCTGGGACAGGTGAGGGGCCTGGGGGGGCAGGCTGTGGTGAAGCTGGGGCTGGGGCTGGTAGGGCTGGTGGTGAAGCTGGTGGTGTCTCTGGAGGGCAAGCTGGCTTTGCCTGTTGGGCTGAGGGGAGAGCTGGGGACACAGGATGGGCTGGGTCAGGGGCTGAGGCTGGCTGGCCTGACGGGGCAGGTTCCTGGGGCGAGAGGGCTGTGGAGAGTAGCGATGGCCCAGGGGGAGAGTCATCTGAGGAGCCTGGTGGTGGACACAGCCCTGTAGCTCATCTCTGGTAGGCAGCACCTTGTGTAGGATCGGCCTGTTGTACGTGAAGGCCCGTGGAGGAGGCGGGGGAGGGGGGATGATGGGGTGCTGCGGCTGAAAGGACATGCGCGCCCTGGGGATGTGTTCGGGGGAGAAGTGGGAGAGGACAGGGGTAATGGGGAGGGGGTCGGAGAAGCTGAAGGGTGGTGGGGGTAAGGGGGTGGGGAAGGGCGGGGGCGGCGGGGCGCTCTGCGGGGGCGGGGGGATGGGGATGTGTTCTGACCCGGAGGAGTAGGTGAGGGAGGTGGCGTCATCGTTGCTGCTGATGTCCTCACTGCTGGCACTGCTCAGCTGGCGGGGGAGGTAGCTCACCTCCTGCTCATCCTGGAAACTCATCTGGACACAGCAGATAATCATCAGTCTCACACCTAATCAGACACACCATGTAATCTGATTTACATCTTGTAACCAGTCTTCAGACACACCTTATAATTAACCTTCATTGTACATCGATAATGTATGTAATCATTTCCTATTCACGTGCACTGCTTTTCTTCAGAAACCATGGAAACCAACCCCATAAATATCTGTTGATGCAATAACAACTACATTTACTGTACTGTCTGTATCATGTTAGTAAAGATCAGATTTCTTATACTGTACTGTAGATAATTTAATAACTTGTTGGACATGACTGTTTCTGCACTCAATGAATTTGATCTGGTACTCAAAAAAATGCTGCGTTAAAAACAACCCAGCGCTGGGTAAATAGTGGACAGAACACACATTGGGTCATATTTGGGTAATCAGGATATTTTCAGTAGGCGTGGCCTATTGGTGGCATGGCTTTCAGATAGGTATTTTTGGCCACCCGTGATAGTAAATGTTGTTCCTGTTCATCATGTTAAGTTTGTACACTGCAAATTAAAATGTTCCTTCAATATTTTTGCTAAATAGATATTTTAATTTAAATGTAATAACATTATTATTTAAATATTATAGCAAAGTGGTAACTCTCCCTACATTGGGATATGCTTATAGGCACTTGAGAAACTCATACTCTTGTGTAAAACTCATTAAAGCTACAAAAGTCTCAGTGCTCAACCTTAACATGTGATGACAATACTGTACAACAGTATCATTATATTTACTATTTGAAAGCCAAAAATAACTTTAAAAACCTATTTGAAAGCTATGCCCCTACTAAGCCACACCTCCAGTCTTCAGATCTGACCTGGCTCTGGCTCTCTCACCTCCTCATGGTGACTATCCCTTCATGTACTGTATCCGTCTATCACCTCCTCATAGTGACTATCTCTTTATGTACTGTCTCCGTCTCTCACCTCCTCATAGTGACTATCTCTTCATGTACTGTCTCCGTCTCTCACCTCCTCATAGTCATTCTCTCCTGGGAGGAAGTCTTCCACCAGAGTGACACGGTGTCCCAGCTGTTCGCTCAGAGCGTCCAGAAACTTGTCAGTGTCCCTGCTCCGGGGGGGTCTGGAGAAGGTGAAAAGCTTCCTGCGTCTGGACAGGGGGCTGGTGGGGTCGTCAGAGTTCTGGGGGGATAGAGGTGGGCTCTCTAGGCTCACGTAGGGGTTGGAGTCAGCGCTACCCGGAGAGGGGATGGTTCCCTCGTGGTAGAACTCGTACAGAGGGTCAGGCAGAGGCTCCTTCCATGTCAGAGACAGACCTGATTTACGGTTCCCTGTTGGGGGGAGAAGAAACCCTCCATTATTTAAAAGGTGTCTAACAGAGGACTTTGTGACTCAGCGGTTTATTTGGTTGAAATAAAACTTGACCCACGTGGCAGCTGTCGGTTCCATTTACTCTAAAGAAGTCTCTTTAAACCACATGGGTTCCATCTTAAATCATCTTATTTGGCATCCTTGAAGTGAGTATGAGTGACAACGTTTATGACAATGTTATTGTAACCTTTACAATTTACTGACCTTTGGCTTCAAGTGGTTGCCGTGTCAACAGTGTGTGTGTGTGTCTGTGTGTGTGTGTGTGTGTATGTCTGTGTTACCTGTGCTACCTTGACTGAGAGAGGAGCGAGCTGGAGACTGGCCATAGGCGTCAGTCTGTCCCAGCTCGGCTCGGTCAGGCAGGGTCAATGGAGAGCAGCGACTGTGACTCTGCTGCATGGCCTTCACGGCACTCTTCCCTGTGTACACACTCTCCAGCTCCGTGTACACTCCTGACATCTAGGGGTCGTAGGTGTGAGCAGGCCGTTAGCACAAAGCACTGGGAACGCTTTATCACAAGGTCTGCTTATAAACTCTTTATGAATCATAACTAGATAGTTTGTTAACCATTATTGACCTTGAGTAAAAATCCTAAACAACATGCCTCATATTTGTCTTGCTTTAAACGTTAGCATAACCATATAATAATGTTTTCAGACTGTTCATGAGCAGACGTCCAGATAAAGTGTTTCCAAAAGCACTGGTAAAAGCATTGCCTGGTAAGTAGTTATCTTTATAAATAGCCGGCTCTGGTGTACACACATAATTAGCACCGCTGGCTCTGCATGTCTGAGCATTGTGTTGCAGTTTTATACCCACGTGATTCAGGTCAGGGGACTCTGGGAAGGAGGTGCCGTCTCCACACTGTCTCTCTCCGGGTGTCCCACTCCCACTCCCTGGTGCATCCACATGAATCCCTGCGTCCACATGAAGGACAGGGACAAGCAGTCATGAGCATCCACCTCCTCTCGAACCCAGAGAGGAGGGGAGACAGCAGGATAATGTAGTTAACAGCACGGAGAAGCAACAGAGACTGTAGTCCAGTCACTGTGGTCTGGATCCTAACTTGAGATCTACTGTGCGCTACACAGTACACACCGTAACATGAATTTCTGCACAAATCTCCCATTGGTGTCAATGTACGGTTTATGCTAAATCCCAAGTTACTGTATGCATTTCTCAAGTTAAGATTTGGCCCTATGAGAGTATAGATAGGCTTAATGCAATACTAGGCTTGGATATACACTGGGTATACCAAACATTAGGAACACCTTCCTAATATTGAGTTGCACCCTCCCCTTTTGCCCTCAGAACAGCCTCAATTAGTTTGGGTATGGACTCTACAAGGTGTCGAAAGCTGGCCCATGTTGACTCCAATGCTTCCCACAGTTGTGTCAAGTTGTCTGGATATTCTTTGTGTGGTGGGCCATTCTTAATACACACTGGAAACTGTTGAGCGTGAAAAACCCAGCAGCGTTGCAGTTCTTGACACAAACTGGTGCGCCTGGCACCTACTACCATACCCCGTTCAAAGGCACTTAAATATTTTGTCTCAAGGCTTAAAAATCCTTCTTTAACCTGTCTCCTCCCCTTCATCTACACTGATTGAAGTGGATTTAACAGGTGACATCAATAAGGGATCATAGATTTCACCTGGATTCACCTGGCCAGTCTATGTCATGGAAAGAGCAGGTGTTCCTAATGTTTTGTATGGTCAGTGTATGTTCTCTGTTAACAGCAGCAGGTGAACCCTCAGCCCTGGAATGATTGGTTGAGAGGAAACCCTTCCAATCAAGGATAAGGATAAATAGTTGTTGAGCTGATCACATTCGTACCCATTCCCAGGTGTGTTCTGATGATACAGTCGTCAGAGCTCCTCTCCCGTACGGTGTCTCTGTAGGAGGTTCCTGACACACGGACTGAGCTGCTCCTCCTGTGGTGCTCCTGTCCTGCACCTGGCACTGGCTCTGCAGCCGCTGCACACACACATACACACATGTGCACATACACACACACGCACACACAGAGAGAGAGAAGAATTAGAATGACAAGAGGAAATATTTAAGAATATCCCACACACCCACTGAACAATAAATATATCCTCTAGTCGTCAGTTCTTGTCATGGTAATATCTAGCTGTCTCTGCCAAGCCTTGTCTCTCAAGAAGAAAAGCATCACCCACTATGGAAGAGAAGACAAACAATTATACAAATCTAAACCGTTGAGGGCATAACCAGACAGAGACCCCTCCTGTAACTCAACTCACTCACCCCCAACAGACCCAACCCAAGCAGGCAGAGAGATGTGACTAATGGCTAGCTAACCCACCTGCAGTCTTCCCATCCCAAGCAGGCAGAGAGATGTGACTAATGGCTAGCTAACCCACCTGCAGTCTTCCCATCCCAAGCAGGCAGAGAGATGTGACTAATGGCTAGCTAACCCACCTGCAGTCTTCCCAACCCAAGCAGGCAGAGAGATGTGACTAATGGCTAGCTAACCCACCTGCAGTCTTCCCATCCCAAGCAGGCAGAGAGATGTGACTAATGGCTAGCTAACCCACCTGCAGTCTTCCCATCCCAAGCAGGCAGAGAGATGTGACTAATGGCTAGCTAACCCACCTGCAGTCTTCCCAACCCAAGCAGGCAGAGAGATGTGACTAATGGCTAGCTAACCCACCTGCAGTCTTCCCATCCCAAGCAGGCAGAGAGATGTGACTAATGGCTAGCTAACCCACCTGCAGTCTTCCCAACCCAAGCAGGCAGAGAGATGTGACTAATGGCTAGCTAACCCACCTGCAGTCTTAAAGCCAAGGAAGCGTGAGATCTTGCTCTGACAGTGTTCCTGCTCCTCGTAGGTCAACAGCTGGTAGATGAACTGCCAGATCACCTGCTTGGCTGGAGTGTCCAACACCGGGAATACATCAACAATCAGGGTGTCCACGTTCCTGAACATATATATACAAGGGCAGAGCCGCCATTTTAGAAACTCTGAACATCTCAGACAAAGAATCGAAATATTTTTTGTTGCTAAAATAAAAGTGTTTTAAAACATGCTACAATAAAAAGAAGAAAAACTAAAGCACTAATAATGTGTTAAATAATATAATTAATAGTTATAATTAACTAATGGTAATCTTGATGCTTCCAATAACTGAATGGATCTTTTAACCAACATTTCATCAGGGTATTTTACAGGGAGGTACAAGTCATTCTCTGAGGTACAACTCAACTCCTACCAGGGTGCTGGAGTTTTTCTTCTTTTTCTTATTAAGAATACTTTTTTCTCCATGCACCTGGCAGCACGTTAATGTGTGCGAGTTTACTTTCCCAAACATGCTAAAATAAAAGTATCAAAAGAAAATCATACTTTCGAAAAGGTTTATTGCTATTCAGTAATGTTGATAGGGAATTTGTCTTGGTGACTCTTTGATTCTGTACTCTGTAAAATAACATGTATTGCTTTAGATTAGACAAGTTTACCATTATATAAAATAAAATTTATATAATGATATAATTTACATTTAGTTCATGTAATGAGATGAAATGAACCATATTAGGATTAAAGCAGATTATTGAAGGGTAGGTGTGTTATTTGGTAGGGAAATGTCAGATTATGTAAAGACATTTCTGTAATTCCCTTCTAGGGTAGGTACAAATACAATTAATGTAATCTTTACCCTTGATGTGTGATGCATTTCAAACAAATATATAATCATTCCTGACATTTGAAGAGATAAAAGGTCTCTCTCTCTCTCTCTCTCTCTCTCTCTCTCTCTCTCTCTCTCTCTCTCTCTCTCTCTCTCTCTCTCTCTCTCTCTCTCTCTCTCTCTCTCTCTCTCTCTCTCTCTCTCTCTCTCTCTCTCTTACTCCCTTTCTATCCTCCAATACCAACCGTCCCCCTTCTCCCCTCCCTCTCCCCCACCTGTGTTGGAAGAAGGTCTCCAGGGCCTTGCAGATGGTGTATCTCTCCTGCACCGTCAGGAGATGATCCAGCTGCTGGCTAAAGGTGCGACCATGGACCCTGATGCTGGGGGGTAGGATCTCAGCCACCCACTGCAGGGAGCTGAGGGGGACCGGGGAGCGGGAGCGGGACCTGGGGGCCACAGCAAGGGCAAGGCCTGGGGAAGAGTCTTCCTCGTCCCCCTGGTCAGAGTGGGAGTAACCAGAGGGTCCGTCTTCCACCACCAGGGTGGGCATGGCCCCACTGCCCTGCAGCATGGACACCACCTTCTCATGGGAACAGTTCCTGAAGAGACACACACAGTCACTGTCACTACTACAATCGGCAAGTATGTTGTCATAGGACCAGCTCCTACAGGCGCTGAAAGGTATAGAGAGTTACTAACTACAGTATTCAGTAGTGCGCTCTACTACTCACCATGTAACCCCTAGTTTACATGGTTACTAGGGTGGTATAATGAAGTATTTGTGGGTAATACTCTGGGTGATATTGTGCTATGGGCGGTGAAATGTGATTCCACCCAGGCTGTGTTCACTCCTACACTTCATGTTCAGAATAAAATGGAATAATACGTACCTTTAAAGCGTGTGAAAGGACTTCCTAAAATCTTTTTCTCAAATACCATTCCACACACACATCCATGCATGTGTGTGCGCACAGACACACACCAGTTTACATATCATATATCCTGATGCCTAGTCACCTTACCCCTATACATATCTACATCTATCACTCCCTGCACATTGTAAATATGGTACTGGAACTGACCCTGTATATAGTCACCTTAACCCTATACATATCTACCTCTATCACTCCAGTATCCCTGCACATTGTTAATATGGTACTGGAACTGACCCTGTATATAGTCACCTTACCTATACATTGTCACGCCCTGACTCTGAGGACTTGTATTTGTTGAGTCAGGGTGTGTATTTTCTGTGTTGTGTTTGCTATATTGTTTTCTATGTTTAGATCTAGAATGTGTAGATCTATGTTGGCCGGGGTGGTTCCCAATCAGAGGCAGCTGTAGCTCGTTGTCTCTGATTGGGGACCATACTTAGGCAGCCTTTTGGCACCTGTTATTTGTGGGATCTTGTTCCGTGTTATGGTATGTTTGTGTGCTACCTTGGACTTCACGTTTCGGTTGTTGTTTTTGTTGTGTGTTTATTCGTTTAATAAACATGTATGCTTATCACGCTGCGCCTTGGTCCGTCCAGTCTATAAACCATCGTGACATACATACAGTTGAAGTCGGAAGTTTACATACACTTAGGTTGGAGTCATTAAAGCTTGTTTTTCAACCACTCCACAAATGTCTTGTTAACAAACTATAGTTTTGGCAAGTCGGTTAGGACATCTACTTTGTGCATGACACAAGTCATTTTTCCAACAATTGTTTACAGACAGATTCTTTCACTTATAATTCACTGTATCACAATTCCAGTGGGTCAGAAGTTTACATACACTAAGTTGACTGTGCCTTTAAACAGCTTGGAAAATTCCAGAAAATGATGTCATGGCTTTAGAAGCTTCTGATAGGCTAATTAACATAATTTGAGTCAATTGGAGGTGTACCTGTGGATGTATTTCAAGGCCTACCTTCAAACTCAGTGCCTCTTTGCTTGACATCATGGGAAAATCAAAAGAAATCAGCCAAGACCTCAGACATTTTTTGGGGGACCTCCACAACTCTGGTTCATCCTTGGGAGCAATTTCCAAATGCCTGAAGGTACCACGTTCGCAAGTATAGTACACAAGTATAAACGCAAGTATAAACACCATGGGACCACGCAGCCGTCGTACCGCTCAGGAAGGAGACGTGTTCTGTCTCCTAGAGATGAACGTACTTTGGTGTGAAAAGTGCAAATCAATCCCAGAACAACAGCAAAGGACCTTGTGAAGATGCTGGAGGAAACAGGTACAAAAGTATCTATATCCACAGTAAAACGAGTCCTATATAGACCAAACCTGAAAGGCCGCTCAGCAAGAAAGAAGCAACTGCTCCAAAACCGCCATAAAAAATACAGACTACGGTTTGCAACTGCACATGGGGACAAAGATCTTACTTTTTTGAGAAATGTCCTCTGGTCTTATGAAACAAAAATAGAACTGTTTGGCCATAATGACCATTGTTATGTTTGGAGGAATAAGGGGGTAGCTTGCAAGCCGAAGAACACCATCCCAAAGCACGGGGGTGGCAGCATCATGCTGTGGGGGTGCTTTGCTGCAGGAGGGACTGGTGCACTTCACAAAATAGATGGCATCATGAGGAAGGAAAATGATGTGGGATATATTGAAGTAAAATCTCAAGACATCAGTCAGGAAGTTAAAGGTTGGTTGCAAATGGGTCTTCCAAATGGACAATGACCCCAAGCATACTTCCAAAGTTGTGGTAAAATGGCTTAAGGACAACAAAGTCAAGGTATTAGAGTGGCCATCACAAAGCCCTGACCTCAATCCTATAGAAAATGTGTGGGCAGAACTGAAAAAGTGTGTGCGAGCAAGGAGGCCTACAAATCTGACTCAGTTACATCAGCTCTGTCAGGAGGAATGGGCCAAAATGTACCCAATTTATTGTGGGAAGCTTGTGGAAGGCTACCCGAAACGTTTGACCCAAGTTAAACAATTTAAAGGCAATGCTACCAAATACTAATTGAGTGTATGTAAACTTCTGACCCACTGGGAATTTGATGAAAGAAATAAAAGCTGAAATAAAACATTCTCTCTACTATTATTCTGACATTTCACATTTCACATTCTTAAAATAAAGTGGTGATCCTAACTGACCTAAGACAGGGAATCTTTACTAGTATTAAATGTCAGGAATTGTGAAAAACTGAGATTAAATGTATTTGGCTAAGGTGTATGTAAACTTCCGACTTCAACTGTATCTACCTCCATCACTCCAGTATCCCTACACATTGTTAATATGGTACTGGAACTGACCCTGTACATAGTCACCTTACCCCTATACATATCTACCTCTATCACTCCAGTATCCCTACACATTGTTAATATGGTACTGGAACTGACCCTGTATATACAGTAGCTTCTTACTTTGTCGTGTTCTTCTTATTTCTTATATCTCGTGTATTTTAGTTCTACCTTGTTATTTTTAGTTTTACATTGTTATGATTACTGCATTGTTGGGGTTAATGCAAGAAAGGCATTTCACTGTACTTGTGCACGTGACATTAAAACTTGAAACTCATCAGGTTGGCTCACTGTCCTGTGTGCATCATAAGGTAAAGTTATAAAAGGTTTGTGTACCTCATGTCCAGCCCGTTGAGGAAAAGGATGCGGTCTCCTGGTTTGAGACCACAGTCTTCAGCTGGGCTGTCTGAAGAGAGACAGGGGGATGAGAGTCAGAGAGACAGGAAGATGAGAGTCAGAGAGACAGGGGGATGAGAGTCAGAGAGACAGGGAGATGAGAGTCAGAGAGACAGGGGGATGAGAGTCAGAGAGACAGGAAGATGAGAGTCAGAGAGACAGGGAGATGAGAGTCAGAGAGACAGGGAGATGAGAGTCAGAGAGACAGGGGGATGAGAGTCAGAGAGACAGGAGGATGAGAGTCAGAGAGACAGGGGGATGAGAGTAAGAGAGACAGGGGGATGAGAGTCAGAGAGACAGGGGGATGAGAGTCAGAGAGACAGGGAGATGAGAGTCAGAGAGACAGGGGATGAGAGTCAGAGAGACAGGGGGGAGAGTCAGAGAAGGGGATGAGAGTCAGAGAGACAGGGGGATGAGAGTCAGAGAGACAGGGGGATGAGAGTCAGAGAGACAGGGAGATGAGAGTCAGAGAGACAGGGGATGAGAGTCAGAGAGACAGGGGGATGAGAGTCAGAGAGACAGGGGGATGAGAGTCAGAGAGACAGGGGGATGAGAGTCAGAGAGACAGGGGGATGAGAGTCAGAGAGACAGGGGGATGAGAGTCAGAGAGACAGGGTGATGAGATTCAGAGAGACAGGGAGATGAGAGTCAGACAGACAGGGGGATGAGAGTCAGAGAGACAGGGGGATGAGAGTCAGAGAGACAGGGGGATGAGAGTCAGATATACAGGGGGATGAGAGTAAGAGAGACAGGGGGGTGAGAGTCAGAGAGACAGGGGGATGAGAGTCAGAGAGACAGGGGGATGAGAGTCAGAGAGACAGGGGGATGAGAGTCAGAGAGACAGGGAGATGAGAGTCAGATAGACAGGGGGATGAGAGTCAGAGAGACAGGGGGATGAGAGTCAGAGAGACAGGGGGATGAGAGTAAGAGAGACAGGGGGATGAGAGTCAGAGAGACAGGGGGATGAGAGTCAGAGAGACAGGGGGATGACAGTCAGAGAGACAGGGGGATGAGAGTCAGAGAGACAGGGGGATGAGATTCAGAGAGACAGGGGGATGACAGTCAGAGAGAAAAGGAGAGAAGACACATAACCCATAATGATATGCAAAACACAACATTTATATTAGCACCATTAATCAAATCAGTATGTGGTATTTGACTGCTGTTGTTTTTATGTACCATGTTTTGTCTGATGTATTGGGTTATGCTGGTAGTAGCCCTTTGGGAACCAATGAAGCATAATATTATCCATGTTAAGTAGGTGTACTGTACCACAGGGCCACGCAGGCTCTCTGACATGAGACAGTGTGTTCTTATGGATGCCTGTGTGGACGCCTGCCTATACGTCAAGATCTCATCTCATCCACCCACAGCAGCAGTCCTCATAAGGCCTAGCCCACTGAGTCAGTGACTAACTTACTGCTGGCCTCTGCTCAGATCTGGAGTGGGCGAAAGGCATCATCCACACACACATACACACTCACTCCTCCCCCCTCTTCAGCTCCGACAATGAGGAACATCCGGTAAACCCCCCTATTATAACACTCTGGTACAACCTGACCTCTACAGCAGAACATCTCTCCATCACCACACACAGCAACGTCCACATCCATCCATGCATTCATCCTCATCTCAATCTCTGTTAGAATCCCTGAACAGTCCGCTTATCGCCTCAGACGGCCCCTTAAACAAACAAAAAACAACAACAAAAGACTAACCTAACGTAGCAGGCGTAGAAGAAATGCCTGAAACTACATCCCCTACATACTGGTCTTGACAAGAAGAAAAAAAACTGTCGGGGGAGGTTTCCCCCAGGACAATACAGTGTTATACAACACACTACATAGAGAAGTCTAATCAGCAGTGCGTCATCACTTACCTGGGATGACAGAGTCGATGCAGACAGGGGCATGGCCTCTCAGGGTGAACCCAAAACTCTTCTTCCTTCTGTAAACCCTCACCGTCCTGGGGGGAGCTTGGAGGCTGAGGAAACATTACAAAGCCTTTATTAGTTTCTGACAGATATTTGTATACATTTTTGTAGATACGGTTGTAACAATGTAGTTGTAATATGCAGGAACTACATTACTACCACTCTTGTGTACTGATGTTTTATCAATGGGCTGTCAACAGATTTCAACTGTATTTATGAAGTACCACTGGGCGTTTTATCAACATGCTGTCAACAGCTTTCAACTGTATTTATGAAGTACCTTTGGGCGTTTTGAATAGCGTTCTCAACAGTAACTAGCAATCAATTCATATTATTATGCCCACATCATCTTGGGTTTTATGTAACTTGAATCCCACCAAATATAAAACAATAAAGGAATGTAGCTAGTGTGTCCAGTAGGAATACCACATAACATATATCATTTCCAGCTCAGACAGCTAGTGTGTCCAGTAGGATTACCACATAACAGGTATCATTTCCAGCTCAGACAGCTAGTGTGTCCAGTAGGAATACCACATAACAGGTATCATTTCCAGCTCAGACAGCTAGTGTGTCCAGTAGGATTACCACATAACAGGTATCATTTCCAGCTCAGACAGCTAGTGTGTCCAGTAGGAATACCACATAACAGGTATCATTTCCAGCTCAGACAGCTAGTGTGTCCAGTAGGAATACCACATAACAGGTATCATTTCCAGCTCAGACAGCTAGTGTGTCCAGTAGGATTACCACATAACATGTATCATTTCCAGCTCAGACAGCTAGTGTGTCCAGTAGGATTACCACATAACAGGTATCATTTCCAGCTCAGACAGCTAGTGTGTCCAGTAGGAATACCACATAACAGGTATCATTTCCAGCTCAGACAGCTAGTGTGTCCAGTAGGATTACCACATAACATGTATCATTTCCAGCTCAGACAGCTAGTGTGTCCAGTAGGATTACCACATAACAGGTATCATTTCCAGCTCAGACAGCTAGTGTGTCCAGTAGGAATACCACATAACAGGTATCATTTCCAGCTCAGACAGCTAGTGTGTCCAGTAGGAATACCACATAACAGGTATCATTTCCAGCTCAGACAGCTAGTGTGTCCAGTAGGAATACCACATAACAGGTATCATTTCCAGCTCAGACAGCTAGTGTGTCCAGTAGGAATACCACATAACAGGTATCATTTCCAGCTCAGACAGCTAGTGTGTCCAGTAGGAATACCACATAACAGGTATCCTTTCCAGCTCAGACAGTGATGTCTCTGTTCCCTGGCTCCCAGAAAGAACCATAACCATCAAAGACTGGGATGGAGATATCACAGTTGCCATGGAAACTACTCAAGGCAACATGGTAAGATATAAACAGAGGTCCATAAAGCAGAACAAGGAGCAGAGAGGAAACCGGTAAAACCCATTATTTGATTGTCTTTATGCTTGTTATGTGAGATGGGGACAGATGAGAAAAATGCAAATGATGTTTTATAGTAATAATAATAATAATAATAATAATATTGATAATAATAATAACACTGTACTGTGCTATACGTACAGAAGCACAGAGTAAGAGGGTAGGCTCAGCACTGCAAAACCCTGGAGATAAGAGACTAGAGGGTTAGAAAAGGTCAAGAAAACAGATATCTCATCTCTCTCCCCATCTAGCATTAGGACTTTCTATACATCAGTACCATAACCCAAGAAACAGCACAGAAGAGGAGCTGAATACTGAAAACGTGATGTGGATGATCCAATGAACAATCAATCATCACTAGAGAATTCAATATTGCTCTATTCACTATTCCTGAATTTACTGACTTGAAACCTTAAACCTCGAAAGGCAGTTCACCATAAACAATAGTGTATCTATTAGTTCCACATAACACAAAAGGTGCCAATGGATAGAGCCCTGTGGCAGCAGGTCAGTGAGAGATCTAGACTATCTGTACAAAGCAGGTTCCTGTCTGTCCTACATGTGATGGAGGCTATGCTAATCAGAGGCACAGCTAATCTCCTATCTAATACCATGGGCTGTCTCTTACTGTTACTGAATATGAGCTGTCAAGGTGATTACACAGGACATATTCCAACATGCTGCTCATTAGGATAACACTGGCCCTGGGTACGGGGAAGGAGTAGGGAGGGCTGTTGGTAAAACATGGACTGGAGTCTACTGTAAAGTCTATCTGTAAAACTGGCATGGAGTGGTGTGATGATGTTAACCCTACAGCCAACCTGGTCTCATAGCATTTTGTATTATTCTGTATGTAAATCTCCATTTAGTATGATATGTTACGTTTCGTATGGTATGTATTAATTTGTGGATGTCCATCACCCATTTTGTATGATATGTTACGAATTACAATTAATTGTATATGCTACAAATTTGCAAAATTTACAATATGTTACGAATTTGCAAAACGTAACAAAACATTAGCTAGGCTAGAGGTTAGGGTTAGGGGTTAGGGTTATGGTTAGGGTTAAGTTTAGGAGTTAGGTTAAACGGGTTAAGGTTAGGGTTAGCTAAAAGGTTTAAGATTAGGGTTAGGGGAAGGGTTAGCTAAAACAGTTAAGGTTAGAGATAGGGGAAGTGTTAGCTAAAAGGGTTAAGGTTAGGGTTAGGGGAAGGGTTAGATAACATGCTAATTAGTTGCAAAGTAGCTAAAAAGTAGTAAGTAGTTGAAAAGTTGCTAATTAGCTCAAATTCTAAAGTTGTCCTTGATGAGATTTGAACTCGCAACCTTTGGGTTGCTAGACAATAATGTTATTCGTCAACTCATCCACCCTGACCAACCACCCTACTTTTGTTTTTGCCTTAAGTAACCATCTGTCTTATGTAACCATACCAAACGTAACATATCATACCAATGGTGGAACAAGCTCCCCCACGACGCCACGACAGCGGAGTCACTGACCACCTTCTGGAGACACTTGAAACCCTACCTGTTTAAGGAATACCTGGAATAGTATAAAGTAATCCTTCTTCCCCCACCCCCCATAAAATAAAATAAAATAAAAATAAAAAGTAGGTGGATGTCCCACTGGCTATCATAAGTTGAATGCACCAATTTGTAAGTCGCTCTGGATAAGAGCGTCTGCTAAATTATGTAAATGTAAATCATACTAATTTGAGTGTCCCTGATTTACTTTTCCTATGTTACGTCTAGTCTATGAGACCAGGCTTCTACAGCAGATAAACGGAGCTACTGTATGGCTTAGAGCTGAGCATACTGTATGTATGTGTATTTGTATTTATTATGGATCCCGATTAGTTCCTACCAAGGCAGCAGCTACTCTTCCTGGGGTCCGGAAAAACATTACAATACATTCATAACAGATTTCACAACACACCAAGTGTGTGCCCTCAGGCCCCTACTCCACTACCACATATCTACAACACAAAATCCATGTGTACGTGTGTGTATAGTGCGTATGTTATCGTGTGTGTGTGTATGCATGTGTCTGTGCCTATATTTGTGTTGCTTCACAGCCCCCGCTGTTCCATAAGGTGTATTTGTATCTGTTTTTTTAAATCACATTTTACTGCTTGCATCAGTTACTTGATGTGGAATAGAGTTCCATGTAGTCATGGCTCTATGGAATACTGTGCGCCTCCCATAGTCTGTTCTGGACATTGGGACTGTTAACAGACTTCTGGTGGCATGTCTTGTGGGGTATACATGGGTGTCTGAGCTGTGTGCTAGTCGTTGAAACAGACAGCTCGGTGCTTTCAACATGTCAATACCTCCCACAAATACAAGTAGTGATGAAGTCAATCTCTCCTCCACTTTGAGCCAGGAGAGATTGACATGCATCTTATTAATGTTAGCTCTCTGTGTACATCCAAGAGCCAGCCGTGCTGCCCTGTTCTGAGCCAATAGCAATTTTCCTAAATCCCACTTTGTGAGACCTGACCACACGACGGAACAGTAGTCCAGGTGCGACAAAACTAGGGCCTGTAGGACCTGCCTTGTTGATAGTGCTGTTAAGAATGTAGAGCAGCGCTTTATTATGGACAGACTTCTCCCATCTTAGCTACTGTTGCATCAATATGTTTTGACCATGACAGTTTACAATCCAGGGTTACTCCAAGCAGTTTAGTCACCTCAACTTGCTCAATTTCCACATGATTTATTACAATATTTAGTTGAGGTTTAGGGTTTAGTGAATGATTTGTCCCAAATACAATGCTTTTAGTTTTTTAAATATTTAGGACTAACTTATTCCTTGCCACCCATTCTGAAACTAACTGCAGCTCTTTGTTAAGTGTTGCAGTCATTTCAGTCGCTGTAGTAGCTGACGTGTATAGTGTTGAGTCATCCGCATACATAAACACACTGGCTTTACTCAAAGCCAGTAGCATGTCGTTAGTAAAGATTGAAAAAAGCAAGGGACTTAGACAGCTGCCCTGGGGAATTCCGATTATACCTGGATTATGTTGGAGAGGCTTCAATTTTTTTTGGGACATTTTAGTCATTTAGCAGACGCTCTTATCCAGAGCGACTTACAATTAGTGAGTGCATACATTTTTCATACTGGTGTCCCGTGGGAATACAATTAAAGAACACCTTCTGTGTTCTGTTAGACAGGTAACTCTTTATCCACAATATAGCAGGGGATGTAAAGCCATAACACATACGTTTTTCCAGCAGCAGACTATGATCGATAATGTCAAAAGCCGCACTGAAGTCTAACAAAACAGCACCCACTATCTTTCTATCATCAATTTCTCTCAGCCAATCATCAGTCATTTGTGTAAGTGCTGTGCTTGTTGAATGTCCTTCCCTATAAGCGTGCTGAAAGTATGTTGTCAATTACAGTATGTTTACAGTAAAATAGCATTGTATCTGGTCAAACAAATTTTTTTCCAATACTTTACTAAGGGTTGGTAACAGGCTGATTGGTTGTCTATTTCAGCCAGTAAAGGGGGCTTTACTATTCTTAGGTAGCGGAATTACTTTTGCTTTCTTCCAGGCCTGAGGGCACACACTTTCTAGTAGGCTTAAATTGAAGATATGGTAAATAAGAGTGGCAATATCGT